TTGTTCTTGGCCAGCACCTGCTCCAGAGAATCTGTCACACTGGTGAACTTGAACTTGTCTGGAGGCTGGCGGTAGATGTTGTCACTCAGGATCTCCGCGGCCCTCTTGCACTTGACCACATCCAGAGACCCGATGGGGACCCAACCAATGCCTCTCAGCCACTGGAGATCTGACTTGTACACATTCTGGGAAGAGGGAAAGAAGGCAGGGGCTCTTCATCGAGGGCAACAGTGCAGGGTAAAGTCCACTTATTGGAAAGATGCAAATGACCTCAGTAAGAAAGCAAGGATCTATTGTTTTCAGAGAGAGTAGGCTTGATGCATGGCGCAAGCGCACTACAAAAACAACTGTGCTCAAAACAACCCAGACACATTTTCCTATTTACAACCAAAATACTCCAAGTATTGACAGTGTTGGGAAAGGACTGATCCTAAGGAAGGTTTGTCAGTCACGCTAGCGACTTTTATAAATAATGTACCCGGGACAGAATGCCAACCCAGAAGTGAGAGGAATCATGAATTCCCACAAGTTACTAGTAAATCCAGATATGGCCTTAGCCTCATGAAACATTCTGTAGCTATCAAAATGTTTCCTTTCTAAGAATACTGACGACATGCAGAAACATTATTAATATATATTTTAATGAAATTGGCATGTGAAGCAATGTGGGTAGGGAAATTTATGTGCAGGGTTTTGGGGGGGGGTTGAATTGAACTAGATTGTTGCTTTCAGCACACTTTTTAAATTTTATTTCAAATTATCTTTTTAAAAAATGAATGACTTTAAGTGACAAGGGACATATAATAAGGAATCCTTGAGGCCCCCAGAATGTGGATAGTTGTCATACTGCCCAAGATTGGGGACAATAAAGGCACATGGTACTGGGCTAAGGCTCTCAGTCCCTTTGCCACCAATTTCTCAGGGTAGAAGGCTCAAGCTAGTTTCCATAGGCATCCATCTTGCCATATGTTTTTTAGTTCATTTTAAGCTATTTTTTTTTTCCCTCAAGATCTTGTAAGTATTTCCCAACAATGTTTCTGAGTCCCCCCCCCCCCCCCCCCCCCCCCCCCCCCCCCCGGTCATCTATCTAGGAGAATTTCAGCAGCCTTGGGAATCGGATGAAAAAATAAATGTGGATTTTATAGACAAAGACTCCTGGCACTGTCCGGTGCCGACTGCTTAGCACGCTTGAAGAGCCACAGCAAGGCTGGCTAATACAGTACTTGCTGTATCTGCACGGCGTGCCTCCTGCAGCACCAAGACCAACCACGGTGCAGGGAAGGCAGCCCAGAACAGGCACTTAGCAAACCATGGCCAGCAGTGTATCAGTCTATCAGCTACTGTTTGTGACCACCAATCCTTCTTCACCACTCCCCTAAGCCCAGAGCAGATGCGGGAGTCTTGCAGGTGGTGGTACAGCTCTGAGGAACGGTCATTAATGCATAATCCTTGTGGATTCATCTCATTCTCCAAAGCTCTCTAATGCTTTGTAATTGCTTCAAATATTTATCAAACACGCCGGGATGGAAATGTGCTCCTCACACCCAGCTCCAAGACAGCACATCCACTGCCAATAGATGCTTGGTTAAGTCATTAGCATCTGACACCCCTACACAGATAGCGCAAATGTCAGGAGAACTGTCCAACAGCTTGCAAAAACAGCGGCTTCATCATCTTCTGAGAGCAGCTTGAATCCTGCGCTGTCATTAGCAATCTAAGGACTGGAACCACCAAGGAAAACAATAGCAAATGGTAGAAATGTGTGTGTGTGTGTGTGTGTGTGGTGGGTTTAGATCCAGGCTTACATACGCTAGACAAGCACTCTACCACTGAGTTACATCTCCAGCTTTCCAGAGTAGTTTTTTTTTTAAATAAAAATTTTGTTTTTCAAAAATAGTTAACTTTCTAAAGAACAGAAGAAAATATTTTCCTGTTGTAGAGCATTAAATCACACATTGCTTAATTACAGGCTTGTCCTCATAAAATCAAGTCCAGCTAGGAAATAGCATTTCCTAATAAAGATGTCAGTTTACCAACCAATAAATCTTAGCTTGACTAGGCCTGTGGGTTGGGTATCAGGGATAACATTTTCATTTAACTTGGAGGCTCTTATACAGATACCACACTCACATCGCTCTGGAGGTCATAGGCCTGCCGAGCATGGATGACGTCATTCTGGTCAGGCAGACACGTCCACTGGTGCAGGTAGTTCTTGTAGTCCACGTCGCTGACCAGGGTCTGGCACTTCTTGGCCAGCACCACTCCCAGCATGTCCACTGGGCTGCTGTACTTGGTCTTCCACTTCTCAAAGTCCTTCTTGTACTCCCGGTCACTCTGGATCTTGGCCACATGCATGGACCACATCATCTTGGGGTCATCTTCGATGTTTCGAGCCCCAATGTGGTGGCCCAGCTGCTTGCGGTAGCCATCTTTGTATTTGTACTGAAATGAAAATTTACAAAGCAGAGTTATAGTGTGCATACTTCGATGTCAAAAATTTGTACAAAATCATGTTTACTTCCATCATAGTTTAACTGACTTTTGCTGGTGAGCACCTACTCCAGCCAACACCCTGGCCTTTACCCTTAAAGCTTGCGGATGTGGTAGATAGATTTCATACAACATGCACAAGGCAGGAAGCACACACACATTGGGGAAGGTCCTACACAGGAGTCAGATGAGTCCATTTGAGCAGGGGTAACCTGAAGAATTGGATTTTACACACTGAAAGTGGCAGAAAAGGAATGCATTTGGGAGCACTATGTGTTTAGCAAGCCGTAACGTAGCTTCATGTGGTTGGATCGTGCAACAAAGAAGGTTATTCCACACCAGATTCACACATTCAGCGTCCCTGGCAAATTTCTACCATCATCATCAAGACCAATTATATTGGTAAAGTTGCTATGGCAACCCATCTGGTTAAGAACGCTCTTAGCAAGGCCATTGTGCTCTAACTTCGCATGGATCAAGAGTGGTTTTTATTATGACAAGTTGATGCCTTCAGTGCGGGACCTAAACAGTCATCCCCAGTACAGGCTTCCCATTCTAAAGACAGCTGAGGTAGAAAGTAAAGGTGGATAAAGGGGAAGGGGCACGGCGTAGTGGGAAGGAATGAGTTTGTCTAGTTTAAACTTCACCACCTATTGAGACTGATTCTGGGAGAGCGGTCTGAATAAGTCACAAAATGGAGATGATGACAGTGTGTACCACCTGGGTAAAATATGAGGATAATGCATAGAAAATTCTTCGTAGGTTTCTTAAAGTTGATTATTTAGTTATTTATTACAGCTGGCATAGATCCTTTTGTTGTGGCAAAGAAGGGGCTAATATGCAAAAAAATTAAGTGAACCATTAATATTCTTGTGAAAAACAGTCTACCTCCTTGTTTGTTAACAGCAAGCCTAGGTATATAACAGCTGGAATCCATTCCTCAAGGATTTGGGAGGCACCAGGTAGGCAGGATGACTTGGCGAGGATAGGGGGTGGGGCGAGGATAGGGCGTGCTACACTGCATAGTCAGGAGCTGACAAGGTACAAGCCTGGGCTAGAAGTCTCCATCTGGTACTGATAGATGCTTTCTGTTTGTAATCTGATCAGGGTGAGTTGCAATAGCAAGGCTCACATGCAGTTTAAATACTAGTCATTAAAACACCATGAAAAGCCAGCCCCAGATCCCCAGCAGAATGGAGGCCTGTGAGCCTACTGATCACTCATACATAAGCGTCTTCAAGCCTGCGGCTCCTTCTCCAGCATTCTCTCATGCTACGTCCTCGGGGAGTGATTCCTTTTTTTCTTCTGAGAACGCAAACCCCTTTCACAAATACCAAGTTTCCCATTCCCTCCAAAACCAGATTTCTGGAAATTTTCATAAAACGAGATCATTTTTTTTTGTCTATTTTTTTTTGAAATATACATTGTGTCCTGGCTAGTTTTATGTCAACTTGACACAATCTAGATTCGTCTGAAATGGGGGGGGAACCTGAATTGAAAAAATGCCTCCATAAGATCTATCTGTAGGGGAGGGACTAGCCCATTGTGGGTGGTGCTATCCCCTGGGCTGGTGGTTCTGGGTTCTATAAGAAAACAGGCTGGGCAGTGGTGGCGCACGCCTTTAATCCAGCACTTGGGAGGCAGAGGCAGGCAGATCTCTGTGAGTTTGAGACCAGGACTGGCTCCAAAGCTACAGAGAAACCCTGTCTCAAAAAAACAAAACAAATAAAAGCAAAAAAAATCCCAAAACAAGAACAAACTGAAAACAAACTAAATAAGCCATGAAGAACAAGTCAGAATGTACTGTTCCTCCATGGCCTCTGCATCAGCCCCTATCCCCAGGTTCTTGTCCTATATGAGCTCCTGTCCTGACTTCCTCTGATGATGAACAGCAATATGTAAGTATAAGTCAAACAAACCCTTTCCTTCCCAACTTGCTCTTTGCTTGTGGTGTGTCATCACAGCCATAGACACTCCAACCAAGACACATCGCTCTAAAGCTCGGGCTAGCCTAGTAATCACTATGTACCGGAGGCTGGCCTCAAACACAGGACAGTCCTTTTACATCGGCCTCTGAAGGTGCTGGGGCTGCGTGTACACACCACCACACACAGCCTACAGAAGTACTTTGTCACACCACGCTGCTCATGGAACCGGAAGAGAACTGCTAACTTACATCACTGGCGATGTCTCTGGAGGCCTTGGCTGCCACAATCGGGATGGCGTCACTTCGTAAGTCATAGCCTTTCTTCTTTGCTTCTTCTTTGGCAAGTTTATACAGACTCTACATTTGAGCCACAGCCCGGAAAGATAGGAATTGGTTAGATGCTGATGTTCATAGCTAAAAACTTATAGAGGGTTTAAATAAGTCATAAAACTCTCCATAAAGGGCTTATTAGAATGTGATTTCTGAGTTCCAAGCCTTTTCTCTTCTTCTACAAAGAAAATACCTATGAAGATTATTACATCTGATTATTCTAAAACTTGACAATGAATTAAATGAACAAATATGCATGTAAAATGTCTCCAGAGAAATCAAGTTCAAGCCTAGGGAGACATGCAGACGAACTGTTGTTTACGGGAATTAATTCAGTCTATTCGGCCTGACTTTGTGCCCTTGACGATGCTGGGTACTTGACAAGGATGAAGACAATCATTCCCTCAGCCTTCCAGTTTCTGGGAGAAGTGATGAGAGCCTGGTAATTTAGGGGACCAGCTGCTGAGAAGCCAAACCACACGAGACAATTTAACCACAGAGGTCAACTACAGAGATGACAGAGTTCCAGGAAGCAGTCATTTACTGTGGTCTGGGAACGAAGGAAGTCCCTGCCCAGGGCTGCCCTTGGGTGATACCTTGAATAATAAGTGAGGTTTCTAAAGACTAAGCTGATCTTCAGGGGAAGTGAGGACGTGTCAAGGAGTGGGGCTTAGCGACCAGGGAGGAATGCCAGAAGTTGACTGAAAAGAGTTTGGAGTTACAGCATAACTCCTGTGGCTGAGGAAAGAACGTGGCATTTGGGCTCGGGTTACAACTCCATGGCAGTACACCTGAGGCCCTGAATTCAACCTCTGGTACCAGTGGGGGTGGGGCAGGCTTTGCTGCTTACTCCCATAGAAACCAAGAAAGAAAACAAAATCCTAAGATGGTGAATGGCAGGATCATTTCTACACTGGATTCCCATCTTAGATGAGAACAGAAAAGACTCAAAGCAATTTGATAGTGAAAATGCTGAGAAAGGAGACGGTGGGTTAGGCGCTCAAACAAGGGAGTTCTTCCTGGCCCATGCTTGACTAGCAACATTGCCCTACTATGGTGTCTCTGGGAGTTTCCCCTCAAGACCGGTTCAAAAACTCCCGGCTAGCTGGAAGACCTGATATTTTTAGTTTGGGTGATAATTAAAAGCTGGTTATACAAGAACTACAACTAAAGCCCACCTTCCCCCCATATAACACGACTTTAAGCCTCTAATTCTGTCTAAAGCCTTTCTTTGTGCAGACATTAGTATTCTATTGATCTGTCCTGTAAGAGAAATGGCGTTTGACTTGCTGGTGACACAGAGCTCAGAAGGAAAGCTGATACGCCTCTGTCGGGATCTTAGATGCACAAAGATCTCTACAGGCTTACAGCGGCAGCCTCAATCTAACAGGAGGAAATTACGGAGGGATTAATGTCAATCTTGGAGCTAGATTTAAATTACAAATGTGCAGAGGCGGACCAGGGGAGACATAGCTTAACTTTACTCCTTGTGAAAGGTCTCAGAGTCTAAGAGGATTCATGGGCACACACACCAGCATTGACCTAGCAGCCAGTGTGCTCCTGCAGGGTGCAGAAATGTGGGCCACAGGTCAGAAGGATGCCAAGAGTAGCTCCCGTGTTCGGCCCTGATCATAACGCACCTACGGTATTTTGTTTAGCTTCGAGTCACATTTGACCAGCTCATAAGATGTCTAGGAACATAGGGAAGTTAAGACTGCAAAGAGAACCTAACAGGGAAGGACACTGATGCCTATTTCTATCTGTGTACAGATTGGTACTGCCAGCTTCTGAGGACATTGTGTGTATTTAGGGGAATACTTTTGAATGGAAATTTCCAGAAGAGACCGATTTATGAAATAAGCTCCTTGTCATTGGGATTCTTAAGCAAAGGTGACTCAATCCTGTGAGTAGGGGTGGTGTCTCTCTTTCTACCTAAGCCACGGGTTCTAAAATGGGGACAAATAGCCCCATCCCCACGAGATAAGAAAAGACCCAGGCTCACTCCTATATGATCCTGGCAGAGGTTCCTTCATAGTCTCTCTGTGTTGGTCGATGGTTCTGGGGTTTCAGACCTTGGCTTCATTTAATTAATTAATTAATTTATTTATGGCTTTATTCTTAAACTTTAGAAATCATAGTTTCAACACTACACCACAATTTAAATGCAATGTTAGACACAGAAAAATATATTTAGGAAGCTTTGAACTAGCACTAGGGGGAGACACATGCATATTCTGTTTTTAATTTCTTCACTTCAAAAGTTAATGGAAGTGGGGCTAGAGTTATGAGCACTGATTGCTCTTCCTAAGGTCTGGGGTTCAATTTCCAGCACCCACATGGTGGCTCACAACCATCAATACCAAGTCCAGAGGTTCCTGCACCTTCTTCTGGCCTCTGTGGGCCACACACATGGCGCACTGACATATATGCAAACAAAGCACCTACATACATCAAATAAAATGCTGTTTTTAAAAAAGGAAAAAAGTTGAATTCAAGAGAAATGTACTTCATCTTATGATTATTGCTGAAATAATTAATTCTTGCAATTAACACAAAAATTGCATTGCCCTAAATGCTAACTCATCCTACTTAAATTTTAACCTTTATAATAGTGATTGAGAAATACAAAAGTTGCTTTTCTCATGAATCGAGAAAACGTGGCTTTCCGAAGCTGTCATTTAGCATTAGACCGCCATGGAACGAGCCAGGGAAGTGAAAACCAGTATGGATGTCTAAGAGTCGGCAACTCCTCCTACCTCGCTGTAGTTGACTTTATTCATTCTTGCCAGCATGATTTCTGGCGTGTCCGGCATGATGTGGATCTGCGTCTTGTCTTTGTTCCAGGCTTCCGTGTATAAACGCTGTCAAAGGAGATAACACATCCTTAATCAGTAGGAGTCTCAAGACCACAGAAAAGTTATAATCTAAGAAGATAAGGCTATGGTATTTTACACGAATAATATATCATATACATGTCTCAAACTAATTAGTTCATATTGGAGTATAATCTGAAAATCATTACAAATTAAAAGGAAAGAATAAGTATTTTTATACAATGATTATTTTTTTCACAAAATATGTTATTTTATAAAAATCAAGAAATCACAACTGAAGTCAATAATAAAATATGAACAACAAATAGATAATAGATTAGAGAAATAGGAAGATAATAAAAGATAGATATAAATGTCTTAGTGTGTAAAGCTCTTTTCTCAATCATGTTTCTGTGTCTTGGATTCGGCTTCAGCAAGCCCACGTGGCTTTCCTGAACTCTGACCTCTCACCTTGTTCATGTTGAGGGCGTTGCTCTTGGCCAACACCTGCTCCAGAGAATCCGTCACACTGGTGAACTTGAACTTGTCTGGGGGCTGCCGGTAGATTTTGTCACTCAAGATTTCCGTGGCCCGTTTGCATTTCTCTACATCCAGAGAGCCTATGGGCACCCAGCCAATGCCTCGCATCCATTGGAGATCAGACTTGTACATATTCTGTTGGTACAAAGAGTCAACAAATGTTTATCTCCACGTTGGGAATGCATTTTCAGCCAAAGGGCATAAAATCAAATGTGATCTATCTGAAAAATATAATTTAGTAGGTAGCAGGCACTTTGTGTTTAGCATTTTGTATGAATGCTAAAGATTGGTGTTCAAAAGGAAAGCAGGTGTCCTGCCCCCTCGCACACTTGCAGGTACAGGTGAGCTTTGGGCCATCTACTTAAACCTTCTGTGGAATAAACTCATTGTTTCCCGTCTTTACGATCATCAGCACTCACATCGCTCTGGAGGTCATAGGCCTGCCGAGCATGGATGACGTCATTCTGGTCAGGCAGACACGTCCACTGGTGCAGGTAGTTCTTGTAGTCCACGTCTCTGACCAGGGTCTGGCACTTCTTGGCCAGCACCACTCCCAGCATGTCCACTGGGCTGCTGTACTTGGTCTTCCACTTCTCAAAGTCCTTTTTGTACTCCCGGTCACTCTGGATCTTGGCCACGTGCATGGACCACACCATCTTGGGGTCATCTTCGATGTTCCGTGCCCCAATGTGGTGGCCCAGCTGCTTGCGGTAGCCTTCCTTGTACTTGAACTACAAGAAGAAAAAGACTGCTCGCAGTCTGTTCTGACCTTTAGAAAAATACATTTACTACGACAGAATTAGCCTATTCATTAAATGTAATGATTTCCTTTGATTATATAATATATCTATCTTTTATCATGTAGAAAACAAAAATTCTAAAAAGGAAAGGAAAACAAATATAGTATTTTACTACATGGGGCTATTTGTGGTGCAAGTGTATGAAAGAATATAATTAGAATATGAGTCATATGTTAATGGGTTTTGCCTGCCTTTTGCAGTTATTATAATAAGCATTTTTCTGTGTCATTAAAAGTTCTTTATGAACATGCTTTTTAATTATAGTAGGCATGTCATATGGTTATACACCAATATTAAACTTCTCTGTGTTGATATTTTTTTTAAAATGTGATAATTATTTCCTGTATTTTGGAAAGAAATGGCATATTTCTGATTCAAAGACAAAAAAGTGAATAAAAAATTTGAGGAAAGTGAGCAAAACCATCTTTTAAAGAATGCAAAGAATGGAAGAGGAGACAGTAGCAGGGCATAGGAGATGAGCGAAGCACATGTATGTGCTTCCTTAAAAATGGTCATTCATAACCCACTGTAATATAATAAAGAAAGCAAACAAATGCCTGCAGCCTGGCCGTGGAGGTTGACACAAACACACAACCCATGCGGATGGCTGGTCTTTGAGTAATGTGTACTGTTTGCTTAGACCCATCAGTTCATACAGCATGGATTACGTTTCAAAGGAATGCTCAGAAACGTGTGATGTGAAAATAAGAAATATGTATTTTTGGAAAAGTGAAAATCAACCCCAACTTCAGTTACATGTGTGCTGTTTTGACTCAGCAGGCAGTGGACTCACAAACGGTCGTCCTTACAGATGACGTTCGGCTCGAAGCCGCGAGTTTTAGTCTCATTATTTTAAGGGACTTGCTGACATAATAAGCTACTAGCAACAATTTTAACGTCACAGCTTGGCCCGCTGTAAATTTAAGAGAAACAAAGTGGTCCTGGAGCCAAAGCTAAGGTGAAAATCTCCCAGGCACACTTACGTCACTCGCGATGTCTCTGGAGGCCTTGGCTGTCTTGATAGGGATGGCATCAAGCCGCATGTCATAGCCTTTCCTCTTGGCTTCTTCCAGACCAAGTTTATATAATTTCTGCCACAGACATAAATTATTATGTTTGATTAATAAGGAGAAATAGAAGGAAAATATATCACATGTCATAAATACATTGCTTACCTCGCTATAATTTACTTTGTTTTGCTTAGCCAGCATAACTTCAGGGGTATCCGGCATAATGTGGATGGTGGTTTTATCCTTGTTCCAAGCTTCGGTATAGAGGTGCTAAGAACAACAAGAGAGCAGGTCAGTAATGAACACTTTGAAACCATGCTCTTGAGTTAACTCTGTGATGTGTTCAGGTTTCGGTTTCTCTCTTAGTATGTAGCATGTTTCCTTTAGAGACACCTTAATGTCATGGAGAAGAGTTGAATGTGCTTTTTCTTTCTGAAGGGAACAGTGTTGCCCACTCCTGTCCGAAATACTGAATACCTTCCTCATGCAAAGAAAGGACTTACGTGGTTCATGGTTATAGCATTATTTTTTGCCAGGACCATTGGCATGGAGTCCATAAGGCTGGAAAACTTGAATTTATCTGGGTGCTGTCGGTAAACATGGTCACTCAGAATCTGGGTGGCTCGTTTGTTTTTCTCATCCTCGAGGGAACCAGAAGGTATCCAGCCAATGCCTTTCAGCCACTGAAGATCGGCCTTGTACAAATTCTGAAATTTCAAGTCACACATGTAAGCATATATTCACAGAGAGATAGGAGGGAATGTTCTGCCATACGATACAGACATGTTTGCAATACTTAACATTTGGCTTTGCGGGTAATTTCAGAAATTTAATGAAATACTCAGATTAAAGCATGTTTTGCAAAGAGAGGGAGATGTGTAGAGAATGGCTCAATTCTTCATTGCCTAGATCAGCTATCTGGAATATTCTACTGCAGATTCTTTGAGGAATAATTCTGCTTGGATCACTAGGTGGAGTTTTGCATTAGTGTATAAATTCCCTACTTTATGGGAAAAGACACAGAATGTTTAATTGAACAAAGGAAAACCTTAGACTCACATCGCTCTGGAGGTCATAGGCCTGCCGAGCATGGATGACGTCATTCTGGTCAGGCAGACACGTCCACTGGTGCAGGTAGTTCTTGTAGTCTTCTTCTCTGACCAGGGTCTGGCACTTTTTGGCCAGCACCACGCCCAGCATGTCCACCGGGCTGCTGAACTTGGTCTTCCACTTCTCAAAGTCCTTCTTGTACTCCCGGTCACTCTGGATCTTGGCCACGTGCATGGACCACATCATCTTGGGGTCATCCTTGATGTTCCGAGCCCCAATGTGGTGGCCAAGTTGTTTCCGGAAGCCTTCTTTGTACTTGTACTAAAAACAAAACAATAGCTCAGTCCTTTAAAAACTGACGTTCCTTGCCTCCTGGGTGGCAATTTTCAAAACCTATTAATTCTAAATTTCTTGCTAAGCCTGAAGAGCCATAGATTTCACTGTTTTGATAGGAAAGATTAAAGGCTAAATCCAGCCACAAATCCCATACGCAATAAACTGACCGTTGGTCTTATCCATATCTTATGCTGCACGTCTGGAATTATCGCCTTGTTTTAATTTGCTATTAGATGATTTTGTTCAATTTAAAATAGGTCCATTACAATCAAATCACTACAGACAGGGCATAACATCTACACCCACTGCAATCAAATCACTATCTACAAGGCATAACATCTATACCCATTGCAATCAAATTACTATCTTCAGGGCTTAACATCTTACTTCACTGGCAATTTCCCGGGATGCTTTTGCCGCTTTGATTGGAATGGCATCGACAGGAAGGTCGTAACCTTTTCTCTTCAGTTCCTCATAACCCATTCTGTAGATTTTCTGTTGAGAGATGAAAACAATCACTTTGGGAAAACCATTCTCCATAAACAGTGTAATGAATAAGCAATACAAATGAAGCCAATGTACTATCTACTTCAAGAGTCCATGAGAAGAGCCTCTATGGTCTCGACCACTCCAGTGGAACTGGATATTATGCCTACGTATTGCTAATGATCCTGTTCTAAATTTTAAAGCTCCTTGATTACCAAATGCACAAAATTAAATGCCAGCTCTTCCCAAGTGCTTTAGAGAAGGCAACAGGAGCTAGCTGACAGAGATATGAATTATCGTTTTGGTGGTATCTTCCAGTTTATGTTGTGTTCTGTGAGAAGTTGCTGTAGAGAAGGGAAAGTCTTTCACAGTCTTACTCCTCCCATGGGAAAAACCAGTGAGAGGATATTGCTTCTGGGTAGCTAATGTTCCTACGTCATGACACAGAACCATCAACAGAAGGACCGGAACCTGGAGGTAATATGGTCCTTCACAATTGAAAAATATTTAGAGTTTAAGTACTGAATTTTAAAACTGATGTGTTTATAATTTGCCCATTCAGACTGTGAAATAACTGGATAGTTGAGAATATATTCAAACATATTTTTATCCAGAAGCCACATGGTTAAAATGGCTATTGACTATTCTTAGACTTTGTGTTCATATTTTAGTCTTTGTAGTAATACAGCCATATATTCTTTAATGTTAAAGTCACCTTATTGGGGTTCAGAATTTGTGTTTTAAATGTTTACTTTTTACATCCATACATCTCAAGGGTTAACATTTGGCAGCAAAATAATTGGTAAAAATGAAAATTTCCTCTAATGGATTGTTTACTTGTTCAAAATTTCATCTATAATCTATTCGTCAAGCACAAAACATTGTAAACAGTGCAGGTCCAATAATAATTGTTTCTACAAACCTTACACATAATAAAGAAATGCAAAAATAGAGAGATCTGTGCTCCAGTGCTGTTTGAAATGGTGAGTACCAACATTGGATAAGCAAACCCCCAACCAAATAAGGAGCCTGAGTCATTTATAGTCAAGTAAATGACTAATTAAAATGACTTGGGCATTCAAAAGAACTTCCAGACCACTTGGCTGATGGAGACGCAGTTGACAGAGTTTACCGGGAACACTCACATCGCTTGTGTTGATCAAGTTCGCCTTAGCCAGAACGATGTCGGGAGTGTCCGGCATGATGTGGATCTGTGTCTTGTCCTTGTCCCAGGCTTCTCTATAAAGTCTCTAAAATGAGAAACAATCATTTTGTCAGGGGATTGTCAGGGTCCAAGATCATAGTGAGGAGTATTAGGTTCATGTGCACTGAACATTATAATTGATTAAAAATAAGATGACCATATAAGCAGAAAACAGAGATGGTTTTCTTATCTGAAATACAACTACCTTCAAATTTAGAGTACGGATCACCCTTTTGAAATGATAGGTACTGTCTATAGAAATAAATATAATAAAACTTTGCTGACCCTATCAAATAGCATAGCACTCTGATTTTTTTTTGGCCTTCTAATACCCCAAGATGATCTATCCAGGTTATGTCCTGGAACTAGGGAATCTTAGTCCTCAGTTGGTTTACTATTTATAGTTATTACATATAATTATTTGGGAGGATAAGTAAACTGACAGAGATTTTGGGATTCCCAAAAGAGACAGTTTTAAAATTTATCAAAATCTCTTGAATGTCCTAAAATCTTCATATCTGTCTTCAACAGAAGACCAATGGAATTAAAATAATTTACCTAAACACTTGAAAAATAGGATATTTACATACTGTCAAACTTTATCAACAAGATATTTATCAATTACAAGTTTTGAACCCCATTTCCAGTGCATGCAATGATATTTTGCCAAATGCGGTATTGCTTGTCTTTAATCCCGGCACTTTAGAGGCAGAGGCAGGCCTCTCTGCGAGTTTGCGGCCAGCCTGCGCTATATATACATAGTGAGAGCCACGTCACCCAGGGATACATAGTGAGACTCTGTTTTCAATCTTTTTTTCCAAGGGATAAAATGATCAACTTAAGAGTGAAGAATCTGGCAATGTCACTTTAAGGAAGTGATAAAAGTTCAAATGATCAGCAACAGGACAACTACTTGATGTCCTGGGCTCTCCTGTCATGGGACCCGAGGGGGACACAGTGTGGGGCATCCTCTTGGAAAGACATGATCTGAATCGTGAGGACACCTTGGAAAACCCAAGGTGAAGGAGACTCTGTGCCTGTCACCAACATCAAAAAGATGGAGGGATAGTAAGGGAATGGTCCAGAGTAAGAATAAAGTCACGGCAAATAAATGTGACCTCACATTGCTTTATCAGCCAGGGGAAACATTTTTCCTTTACTATAAAGGGTATTTGTAGTAAAACTGAATAAATTATTTTTATTTTTTAACATTTAGAGTGTGTGTGTGTGAGAGAGAAAGAGAGAGAGAGGGAGAGAGAGAGGGAGGGAGAGAGGGAGGGAGGGAGGGAGGGAGGGAGGGAGGGAGGGAGAGAGAGAGAGAGAGAGAGAGAGAGAGAGAGAGAGAGAGAGATATTGAGATTCCATAGCACATGTGTGGAGTTCACAGGGTAAAGTACAGGTATTGGTTCTCTCTTTTCACCATGAGGGTCTTGGGGACTGAATTTTGGCCATCAGGTTTAGTGGCATGTGCCTCACCCACAGAGCTATTCTTCTGGCCACATAAAACTGAATAAATTCTATAGACAGCATTGTGTCAACATTGATTCCATGACTTTGATAATTCCAAAGTGCTTTTGTAAGAGCACATTCTTATTTTCATGACACACACGCTGAAGGGTAGGGGTAACAGGGTGTCATGAAGCAGTGTAGTTTTTCTCATAGATATGGGAGAGAAGAAAGGGAAGAAGGATAAAGAGACAGAATAGAAATGTGTTAAGATGTTAAGAATCTGGGTAAAATATGTAACTTATAGTTTTTTTAAAACTTTATGTATGCCTAAAGTTATTCAAATATAAACTTATTTTTCACTGCCTGTGGTAGTGCCTACCTTAATCCTAGCATTTGCCTGGGGAGTCAGACAGATCTCTTGAGTTTGAGGCCAGCCAGAGCTACATAATGAGAACCTGTCTCAAAATTATTTTTCTCATTACATTTATTTACGGTGTGTGTGCGTGTACACACATGTGCATACATGCACATGCACACATGTGTGGTGTTAGGGGTGGGGGTTTCAGGTGCCATGACTTGCACATGGAAGCAAGAGGACAATTTGGAGGAATGAATTCTTGTTCACCATGTAGGCTCCAGGGATCACACACAAGTCAACACACTTGGTAGCAGGTGCCTTTATCCGCTGGGCCATTTCAGTATAAACATTTTCAAGGTTTCATTAATTCCTTAGACTTTCCAAGTTCCCTTTGAGATGTACGGCGTGGGGCGTTCAAAGGGTTGGAACCTATCTCTCTCTGTATAAATATGCTTTCTATCATGCAGGTGGTCAAGAGGAGTTAATTAGGCTTTCAGGACCAAAGTGAAACAAGGCTCTTTAATATTAATATATGCTTTCTCAAGTTCCTGGCCAATCTTTCTGCTAAGAGTGCCACTGCTTTTTTAGTTTTATAGTAGCTGGTGTTGGACACTGGGTGGCTCTTAATTGTAGGGGACAGTCTTGTGTCTCATGGGATTTTTAGCAGCATCCCTGCTTTCTATCCACTAGAGGCCAGTATCATGCCACCTCCAAGTTGGCACAAGCAAAGGGAAGGAAGTTTCTAGATACTGTCAAATTTTTTTCGGCATCCCTGCAACTATGGCACACTGTTCAGCACGGGCTGGTCAGCTTTATGGTCAACCCTCCTCCCTTGCTTATCTTCTCGGTTCAGAGCTTTTTGTTTCTTTCTCGAGTCAACTAAAATTCTAAAAAAAAAAAAAAAAAGCAACATTCAGGGAAGAAACAAAACCAAAGTGTATGGCAAAATCTAAAGAGAAGGAAGGGGGATGGAGGCAGAAAGAAGCCTGCCAGCTCACATCTGCTACAGCCTTTGGAAAACAAAACTGTGGAGTGTCTGTGAGTGCTTGATTAGGACGAGAGGAGCTGTCAGTTATAAAATAGAGTCTTATGCATCAGGTCAGAGCTAATACGTGCATTTAAAGTGGAAGTGTGTATTGAACACAGTGTACAAAAGCCCTTCGTAAGACCTACACAGCTACCATCTGTATCTATTTCAACCTCCTTACATGTTCCAGAATCCCAGGGCTCTTGGTTCAGCTTCTTGTAATGTTCAAGCTTGGGCTGAGTAACAATAGTGTTTGGCCCTTCTCAGTCTAGAAACACCCCACACCGCTACTTTTGTTTATCTCGTTGTCCGTGCTTACTAAGCTCTTATTCTATGATAATTACTGGTGTCCCTGCTGGAGGAGGACACTAAAGGCAGAACATAAATTTACTATGCTATGGAATTATTGCATGATCTTGATTTAGTTATATTAAAATGCATTACTATTATTTTGTAAAAAATATATAATTTTTTTTTGTGGCACTGAGAATTGAACCTAGGGTCTCATGAGTGCCAGGCAAATATCCTTAGAAAATAAATGATGTGGGAGTGATTTCTTATTAATAAAGAAACTGCCTAGGCCCATTTGATAGGCCAACCCTTAGGTAGGCAGAGAAAGCAGAACAGGATGCTGGGAAAAAGAAGCTGAGTGAGGAGTCGCCATGATTCTCCCGCTCCAGACAGACGCAGGTTAAGATCCTCCCTGGTAAGCCAGCTCGTGGGCTACACAGAATATTAGAAATGGGTTAGAACAATATGTAAGAGCTAGCCAATAAGAAGCTGGAACTAGCCGGGCCAGGCAGTGTTTGAAAGAATACAGTTTCCGTGTAATTATTTCTGGGCATAAGCTAGCCATGCGGGCGGCCGGGTGCCGGGGACGCAGCCCTGCCGCTCCTATTTCAACAGATGGCGCCCAGACGTGATGGGCTAAATCCACTTAAAAACCTGAGAGGGCTTAAAAAGGAGAGAGAGAGAATTTAAGACAGCTTTTTGCTGTTTCTGGGTTGCGTGCCGCAAAGAAATTGTCCTGACTCGGCAGCAGGAAAAAACTGGCTGTTTTAAAATGCCGGCTTTCTGGGCTGTGCCGCCATTGTGATCTCTGTCTGGCTCCGGCGGGAGACAGAGCTTATGAATGGAGCATTTGGATTAAAGTGCTACGATTTGTTTGATGGCAACTAGACTGCTGTGTGCCTAAAAGGGGGACATTGTGTGCCGCAGCTCAGAGGCACAAGCAGCTCCGCCATGCTAATGGTGCAATGTGCAAGGATCAGAGGCACGAGCGGCTCCGCCATGTTGGACTGGGCGGGGCCAGCATACAGTACCTGTTTTTGACCTAGGAATGTCACAGCTTAGATTCTTAAGCGCTTAGTGATTTAAAGGCGCAAAACAAAGTGCTCCTGGATAGTAAAAAAGTTACAGATTCACAATAAAACAGATTCAGACACTGTTGGATAAATGTACGTAGGCTTGGGAAAGAGAAGAAAAAGAATATAAAGAATAAAGTTAATGTCTTAAAAAGAAAAAGGGTAAAGTCTTTAAAGAGACAGAGTACAGAAGTACAGATAGTTATAGATTAAGAGAAATAAAGAAAAATAAGCCACGTAAAAATGGAAAATTCACAGAGAGTCTGGATTATGTACATTGTGTTTTCTTTAAAATTTTTGACTGTGAAGGAGCTAAGTACAGAGAGACATTTCATTATATGGGCTGCCAAGCTAAACCAAAATGGATTTCATGAGGGTATTATGATTTCAGAATTTGGGTCTAAGGATATGATGCTTTGGAGAGGGTCTTCTTTTGTTTTTGCAGAGGATGAGACCCTGTGGATTGCATCTATTCCGATTTGGTATGATAGACCACGCCCTCCTGAAAGGTTGCTGTGAACACCCTCAAAAAATTGCTTCGCTCAATTGCCAACTGAGATGAAACTAGCACACAGGTTATATCATGAACGACCTAATTAACGACGCCCCTATTCAGCAGGAAGCAGTTTGGAGAGAAAAAACTACGCCCATGTTCCCAAATATTGTTTATAAATGTTCTTTTACATTTAAAGGGGGATATGATATAGATATGAATAATTTGCATTGGTATGGATTTTAAGGTCAATTTTGTTATATGTATATGTATTTTTGATCTTGATTAAGGTATTGTGATTGTGTAGTTCATTTAAAAATGTAATGTATAATTAGGAAATATAGGTTGTTAATGGATAATCATCGCTAATAGTTAAGCTTGTAGTCATGTTAATTAGATTTTCTAGATATATAGAGATATATTTCAGTTAGATAGGCATTCTTCATATCTTTCAAAGACTGCAGAATATGGCATTTAAAATATTTTAATAACTTAGGACTTTTCATGACAAGGAGACACGTCTGCTCCTGGCAGCACCAGCTACTTCAAGAGGAAGATGGGCATCGAAGAGGATCCTTATGGAGTTGGATAGTCATTTGGGCAAGAAACTGCTCTTGCCTGGACTGTTGCATAAACTGGACACAGAGAACCCTCAGAGAGAGGACTGCTGAACTTGCCTAAAGGTGAGATGGTCTTTCGGGGTTCCTGATTCATGAAAGAGTCTGCGAGACATTCTGCAGGACACAGCAGAAAATGACTGAACTGTCTTTGAAATTTCCTGCTTCATGGAAATGTATCTGGATACCATGGGCCTGTAGGCCGAAGATGGATGCCCCAACGGTACCAAAGAACTTTGGGTGACTGTCCAGGCAGCGAGATGTCTCTGTCATTTCTAGAGTTTTCTTATTTCTTGTTTACTTAGGTAATATTATATCCTTCTGGAGTCTTTGATGGAGTTGAAGAATGAATAGTTATAGTTTTCCTTAGTTATGGTAAGAGATAAAATAGATATAAATATTGTAACTGTAATTCTTACTTGATAACTGTTTTGTTATATGTAATTTTACTATGCTAAAGTTAAAGCCTTTCTTTTTTGTTTAAACGGAAAAAGGGGAAATGATGTGGGAATGATTTCTTACTAATAAAGAAACTGCCTTGGCCCATTTTATTGGATAGAAAATTAGGTAGGCGGAGTATACAGAAGAGAATTCTGGGAGAAAGAAGGTTAGAGGAGGAGTCGCCATGATGCTCCCACTCCAGACAGATGCAGGTTAAGATCCTCTCTGGTAAGCCAGCTCGTGGGCTACACAGAATATTAGAAATGGGTTAGAACAATATGTAAGAGCTAGCCAATAAGAGGCTACAGATAATGGGCCAGGCAGTGTTTGAAAGAATACAGTTTCCGTGTAATTATTTCGGGCATAAGCTAGCCATGTGGGCGGCCGGGTGCCGGGGACGCAGCCCCGCCACTCCTATTTCAACAAATAAACCCTATAAAGGTTGGGAACTATGACTGTTGTTAAAACAAAACAAAACAAAAACCCAGACCCATTTCTTTATAACATTTCCATTGTGTAAGGCCCCCAGAATCACCCCCCTTTCCATGCTCTGTTCCAACCAAAATACCCAGGTCCTTATTGTATTTAGGTTCCAAAGTGAAAACATATTCAACATAATTTTAAATCACACTTTAGCTAAGTAAGGAAACTCGGTTGAACTAAGTTGACAATAAACTGTACGTATTATTTAGTGTAAAGTGGTTAGAGATTCAAATAGATCAAACCACCATAAACCATCACTGTGTACCAACTGAGACAAGGTCTTGCTGCGCTACTTACTGTTCACTAGGGAAGTGCTCCTAACTGCCGGGTAGCAAGCACTATAAACTCTCCTGCCAATTTCTAACAAGTACTCACATCGCTCCTGTTCTTGGCGTTTGTCTTCGCCAGAACTATGTCCATGGCGTCAGGGATGCTAGTGAACTTGTTTCTGTCCGGAGGTTGGCGATACTTCTTCTCACTGATGATTTCCGAAGCCCGCTTGTTCTTTTCTGCTTCCAAAGAACCCAAGGGGCTCCACCCTATGCCTCTCAGCCACTCAAGGTCAGACTTGTACATATTCTAGGAAAGGACAAAGCAAGCCATCACAATCTCATCTTCATCTTCACCATGACACACCATTGTGTTTTAGGTGGTCAGTGATGATAATTCTTCTTTCCAATCCCTTCTTTTTCATATAAATAGCTATCAATACATGGAGTAATTTTAAGTTAACAAATTTGATAGACACTGACCTCACTTTGCAGCTCATAGACTTTTTTAGCTTGGATGACGTCATTCTGGTCAGGCAGACACGTCCACTGATGTAGGTAGTTCTTGTAGTCCACGTCGCTCACCAAGGCCTGGCACTTCTTGGCCAGCACCACACCCAGCATGTCCACGGGGCTGGTGTATTTGGTTTTCCACTTCTCAAAGTCTTTCTTGTATTCTCGTTCACTCTGCATTTTGGCTACATTCATAGATAGCACGAGTTTTGGGTCATCTTGCACACTCAGGAATCCAATATGGTGTCCCAGTTGTTTCCGGTAGCCTTGTTTATATTTAAACTGAAATCAGGAAACAGTCTTTTTAATAATGTAAATAAAAGCCAAGTTAACTCAACTTTGTTGTTATATTTTCCCCCCAACACGGATATGAAAGAATGATTTGAGCTAACCTAATAGGAAATGTTTTCTTCCTTAAGTAAGTCCTGTTTAATTAGCTCTATCTAAAGAACGAATGTGGTTGACTATCAAGGAAGACTATCATGAGAAATTAGTTCTTTCCAAAGGCAGGAATATGTGCCTGATATTGTGTGGCTGAATTGAGGATAACATTCAGCAAAATCCTTGTCACATGCTTATAAAAAAATGGGGGCTGAACAATAGAAAAATTATGAAGGTATATGAGCTGGTGACCATGCTAAAATGTAAGTTACAGATTTTTTTACAAGATCATATTATATAGTTTTGTCTAGACTGGGATCTATATTTTATATAGGCACAGATGGGAATACTTTGATATTTTTGTTAGAAAAATAAATTACATAAGAACTCAACATCTTGTCAAGTAGGTGAAAATAAGCTATATAAATTTCAAATAACAAAAGTAAAGTCCAGAGCTTACATTTAGTTGGAGAAATTACATTACTGTTAAATGACAACACGGATGATAAGTGTAATGATGGTAACTTAATGTTAGTCTCTGAACACAGTGGGCCTCACAGACATAGGGCTTTGCTCCCTCCGAACACATACATTTCAACTACTCTGGATTTGAAGTTGACTATATCATTGCGATTGTTGAGCTGCCTTATCAACTTGAGTGACTATAGAATCATCTAAAAAATTGATGGTGGTACGCCTCTGTGAGGGCGTTTCCAGAAGGGGAAAGTCCCATTCTGCATATGGGTCATGGAGCCCCATGGACCAGGGCCTAGTCCAAATGAAAAAGGACAAGGAGAAGACGGGCTGAGTGTTAGCTCGCACATCTTCAGCTTTCTGGTTTGCAGGGATGGAAACCGAGGTGCTCACCCTGCCTTCTTTGCCATGATGGGAACTGAATCAAATCACAGTGTCTTTCCTTTCTTGTCTCTGTGAGGGGTTCTGATTAGAGTCATACAAACCTACCCAACACAGCCCTTGATATGGACAGTCTGGCAAAACTGCTTATAAAAAAGTAGAGCCATCTCTCTGTAGGGAGCACAGATAAGCTTTGCCAGAAACCTATTTAAGCTGCCTGAGCTCCTGTCTCAACAAAACACTAATATTTGACACACTATTTTAAGATGACAAAGCAAAACAAATCACAGACAGAGTGAACTGCTCATAGAAGACCAGCACAGTTCCAAAACTAAAAACAAAGGAGAATAAGGAGACAGATGTTTGAAGAAATGTCAAATAGAAGAAGAAACAAGCTACTTTGTGCTATTCCAGAACATAGACTTGGCACTGATGGATAGAATACCTCACACCAACAGTAAGAAGTCTGATAATAACTCAGCACAGCCCAGTGGAGAAAACTCCCTCTCTAAGGGACCATGCATGTCCTCTGCGTGTGAGCACAGATCCAAGCACTTCATCCTCTCTCCACACCACACATGAAGAGAAGGCAGATGTTGGCAAAGTACTGAACGGAATAACCATTCTACCTCCCAACTCTAAATTCTGTTCTTAATTTAACTTATGCGATTACACACTTAAAGCCTGCCTCGAAAATCCTATGAAATGGTACAGAGCCATTGGGAGCTGAGAGGGAAAATAATTCCTCCTGCGGTGGGAAAGTTCACACGTAGCTAATTTAACTGCGAACTTTCAAGTGGATTTGCAAGGAAAGGAATGAGGAACTATTGGCCACTGGGTTGCTGGGAAATTGTCGGTGCCCTTTCAATTGCTAGGTTCTCATTAGCATACAGCACTAAAGGAAAATGAGTTGGTTTTATCATGTAGTTTCATCATTATTTTGGTTCGATTTAATGAGGTCTTGATCTGAAAGCCAGAGAGTCCAAATTATTTCCTGGTATTTCTAGAGTGCCACAATTGAATTAGATAGATTTTCTCCCTGTATCCTTTGAATTTCTTCTCAGATTCTGGGCTTTAGGCTCTCTTTCTCCCCTTCCATACAGCCCATGTGTGGAAACAAATCATTTTTGCTGTTGGGTTTTTATTTGTTGCTGCTGTTGTTGTGTGCTTGTTTTTGAGTCAGGGTCTCACTGTGTAGCTCTGGCTTTTCTGAAACTCACTATGTCGACCAGGCTTGGCCTCACAGAGCTGAGGGGCTGGGATTAAAAGTGTGGGCCAATACACCTGACTTGCAAATCCTTGTATGTTTTAAAAGTTTTAAGAGGCTGTGTGTCCCTAAGAAATTTTGGTAATTCATTCTCTAAAACTAAGACTGTTAGAAGTTTTTATAACTACAAAAAAAATAAAAGAGGAAGGAAGAGAGAGAGAGAGAGAGAGAGAGAGAGAGAGAGAGAGAGAGACTGAGACTTCTGCTATCGCATGCATATATATACTGGTCAGAGGATAATTTGTGGTAATCATTTTCTTCTTGTGGATCTCTAGGACCAAACCCAGGCTGTCAGGTTCAGCTGCAGTCTTTACTACTATAAACCAAGCACTATAAATTAATTTTACTACTACATTTATTTATTCCATGTGTAGGTACACGCACACCACAGTGTGTATTTGGATGTCAGAAGACAATCTGTGGGAGCCAGTTCTCTCCTTCCATCACGTGGGCTCCAGGGATTGGACTCAGATTGCCAGGCTTGCTGGCAGGCTCCTTTACCCACAGAGCTAGCTCGACAACCTAGGACAATTTGAATTTCTTCTAGTGTGTTTTGGGGATGAGCAAAATGAAATATTTATTTATATGCAAATGAAACATTATTTGAATATGGGGGCCTTATGTAGCGCGTTCACCAAAAGTTCCAACTTTTCCAGCCTATGAGGATTCTGCCCTTTGGGGCACAAATGGCATTTTTCAATGAACCAGATCTCTGAATAGTCAACAGAGTGTAAAGTGAGCCTTTTGGGATTTTCCACCCTAGAGCTAATTTGCTGTAATTATGCAAGTACAAGGAGAGGCTAACTTAAAGTGACTGATGGCTAATTTTCAGACATATGCAGGTAAAAACTATCAACATCAGTTGCAAACGTTGATTTATTATCTGGCCTCAGTTTGTCTAAAACAGACCAATAGAAAATCCTACAATGTCTATCTTCTTTGTACTATCTGGAAGAGCGCCTCATTGTACTGGGTTTTAGAGGGATGCTGGCTCACTAGGTGGTTAGACATTTGAGGAAAGAGGGGGAAAAAGATAATTCTGGATAGCCAGGGTACAAAGAGGTGAAGGAACAGAAGTCCATTTCTAAGTCAACGAACACCCCATGGCCCACCCAGCTGAAAGTGCAGCCTTCTGCCCCCACCAGGACTTACGTCACTAGCGATGTCCCTTGATGCCTTGGCCAGCTGGACAGAGATTGCATCGACAGGGAGATCATAGCCTTTCTTCAGAGCCTCTTCCCAACCAAGTCTATAGAATTTCTGAAAAGTAAAGGGACTCTATTTAGTGCTATTTCTTCTATGTTAAAATTGCAGACAAGCCCAGGCGTGTGTAGATAGTGAATATAGAAACCTAAAATCAACTACTCTGACTCTACACGCATATAAAACCAAGCAGGTGATGACAATAGCTCAGTGCTCAGCACTGACAGCATCAGGGGATCTAGCTTAGTCTTTCATTTCATTTTGGGCTGATGGTGTATCTGGACACAGCATCTCCTATTTAGCCACCGTCCAGTCCTACCGGGTTTATAAGGTAGCTTTCTTCCAGCAGCTAACAACAGTCTGGGGCCACTGTTTTATTAAACACTGGCGATAAATAATTAAAAAAGAAAATCAGGTCACACCATTTCAACTACCTACATGATAAAAGTAAAAAACGCCTTTTGGAAGTTTCAATAAATGAGCTAGCTGTTCCAGTCAAACTTGTTGGCGATTTATTAAAAGCGCCATAGCAAACTCTTCATTTAGGACTCTCTGCCCGCTGGGTGCTGTGATGTGTTGTGCTGTGCACCTTATGGGGGCTCTCATTTGTTGCTCATGGCCATCCAATGTCACAGGTACTTTTAAGGTCCCGATTTTAGTAGGGACGGAAACAAACTTCAGAATAGGTGGTTCTTCCACTATCAAGGAACACACAGATACCAAAGTCAAAGCTTACATCAGGTCTGTTTGACATAACTCTATGTTTCAGTTGTTATTTATGGCAACTCCCCTTTGCACTAAGTGCAATGAGCATGGTGATTGGACAGATGTAGCCCCTGCCTCCTAGGAGCCCACAGCCAGGGCCCTGGCTCCTAACAGGGTCTTTTTTTTCTTTTTCTTTTTCTTTTCTTTTTTTCTTTTTTTCTTTTTTGTTTTTCGAGACAGGGTTTTCTCTGTGGCTTTGGAGCCTGTCCTGGCACTAGCTCTGTAGACCAGGCTGGTCTTGAACTCACAGAGATCTGCCTGCCTCTGCCTCCCGAGTGCTGGGATTAAAGGCGTGCGCCACCACCGCCCGGCCCTAACAGGGTCTTGAAAGCCCTCTAGAATGAGGAGTTTGATTTGCTTCCATTGCTTCAGCATTTACACCGGCTCTCTCCTATTACATCAGTTTCGAAGTGAGTATGAGTATGCTTTGAGACAAAAGCATGTCGTCAACGTGCAAGCTTCCCTTACCTGGCTGTACAGTGTCTGATTCTGCTTGGCTTGCAAAATATCTGGTGTATCTGGCATCACATGAATCTTGGTTTTATCTTTATTCCAGTCAACGGTGTATAAATGCTAGGAAGTGGGAGAAGAGACATTTTAAGTCTGAATAATGGTTAAGGACAAACAGGAAAGAAGATAAATGACTATTAAAAAACACTTCGCTTGAACTAGAAAAAGGAAAAATGTGATTCAGAAGAGACATTAACAAATTCATATGCTTTTTCTAAAGGAAAACAATACATATAATAGTGTATCTACATCTATCTACCCATCTATATAGAGAGAACCTGAGCCTTCCAGCTGCTAGGATTACAGGTGTGTTCTGTGACACCTGGCTTTAATGTCAGATTTGGAAAAATAATATTTTGCATCTTTTCCATCTTTAGAATGGAATGAGAGTACTTAGGATATGTGCACTGAAAACATAAGTAATTTCTAACCCAATTAGAATGATAAAGGGAAGGCATTACAAGAGATAAGACATTGAAATGTGGTACAGGACCATGTTCTGCAATCATTTGCCACTTTCTAGAATGCGGGACCTGAGTTCAATTCCCTCATAGCCTGTTGACTTCTTCTTGATTGGGAAGGAGGAAGAGAAGTGCTCGCTCTACCTTATTCATGGTATGAGCATTCTGCTTGGCCAGCACCATGTCCATGGAATCAGTCAGCTTCTTAAACTGGAAGCCGCTGGGATGCTGGCGGTACTTCCGGTCACTGGCGTATTCCGTGGCTTTCTTGGCCTTCTCCACCTCTAGAGAACCAGCTGGGCTCCAGCCAAGCCCCTTGTACCACTCATTGTAGTCTTGCTTATATTCATTCTATAAAGAGAGAAGACACACTTGACTTCTCCAGATAAGACACTAAAATGTGGTATATAAAACTGCAATGTCTCTGTCCACGCCGGGGACCCAGCCACCCCTGAGCTGGAAGTTTCTCTTACGTCACTCTGGATGTGATTCATATTCCTGGTCAGCTCGATGTTCATCGCATCTGGGAGGAGGATGTACTTGTGAATGAGGTGCTTGTAGTTAGTGTTGGTGATGTTGGCTTGGGCGTCCTTGGCAGCTGTGACACTCAGCATGTCGGCAGGGGTGTGGTAGCTGGTCTTTGTCTTCTCGTAGTTCTTCTTGTACTCTCGATCGGACTGCATCTTAGCCACTTGCATGGAATGGACTAATTTGGGATCATCCTCCAGACTGCGGAAGCCAACCATCTTTCCTTTCTCCTTTTCATAGTTGTGCTTGTATTTATACTGTGAAGAGAATAAGTGAAGAACAATTCTAGGGTTAATACTCTGCGTTTCATAAAACCGGTAGCTGTGCACGGCTCTGCTGCGGACCAAACACATTTCTGACGTTTGCTTATGAGCCTGGCAGCAGCAGAGTTCTTACTGCAGTCCCCATTTGATACAAGACTACACACTGAGTGACTTCCTGGGGTGACGGCTCATGTATGGAACGCAAAGCATGATTTTGGAGCAGTTTCATATTCTGCAGGATTTTTTTTTCTCTCCAAGCTGACAAAACGAAGGAGAAATGTTGCTATTTCTACACCCAGCTTCCATAGAGGAGAGAGAGTGAACCAGACTGTTCTTCTTAGTCTTTTCTTCATGAGGTTGAGTGTGAAGGTTACAGGGGAGGAGCCAGTGTATCAGAGGAAGAAGTAGGGGTTCTTAGCAATGTGAGGGACTGGGGAAGGGAGGATGCAGGACGGGAGGGCAAAGGAGAGAGCGCAGCCTGGTGTGCCTCATCACTCCACGCTTCTGAGAGCAGAGTTTTGAGGCACGGATCAAGTTTCCTATGAGAGTGTTGTGCTGGTCCACCAACTTTCTCAGGCTGCAGGGAGCCCTAGTTCATAGGGTTCATACATCTCGGTGGCTTGAGCTCACCTACCACAGCTGATGCCAGGTCACTAATGTTTTAACAACTAGGTTGCAGGTTTCCTCATCATTTAAAGAATGGCCATCATCAGCATCAATGATCAAAAGCCCAGTGACACTACATAAAGTATCCTGCTGGGAACACAGATGCCAACAAGCAGAGGGTTCACCTAGACCTCCTCAGGGGGATGCTGAGGTCTGTGAGCACCCTAGCACGATCAGAATCTTGTTGTGTCTCTGTACGTTTTCCCAGAAGGGCCAGAGAAGACATAAGCATTGTCAAGAGGCATTTGTGGAGCACAGCGAGTCTATGGCTCTCAGGCATGGGATAATGTTCTGCTTTTGTATTGCAATGTACTCTGTGTTTGTGGCTCTATTTCTCTGCTTGGTTCCCGGCCACCCTTCGCACTTACGTCGCTTGCAATATCTCTTGATGCTTTGGCGGCTTTGATAGGAATCGCGTCCGTTCTGAGGTCATAGCCTTTCTTTTTAGATTCTTCCAGAGACAGTTTGTAGAGTTTCTGTAAAGAGAAGAAAAAACCCAGCTTTATTCTAGAAGGCTGACTAGTTGTGTAGCAAGACTTTCTGTCTGGCAGATGTGGTATTGGTGGGTCAATGTTGAATGTTCTAAGGAACATCATTATGTGTGGGGGGTAAAAAAAACAAAATAAAGCAATTACTTGAGCTCAAACGTGCTTTTAGTATATCATTACAAAAGGAAAGGTCCCGATTGCTGTGAGGTTGAAAAGATGCTGTGAAGATGATACAGCTCAGCTAACTCCTACCTGCTCATTAGAAGCAAAGAAAGACTACAAACCAGCCATCTTCACGTGCCAGAAGAGCACGCCAGTTTTACAATGGCCTCCTTTACTCATATAAATAGTTGCGTGAATTCCACAGTCAAATAAAAAACACCAGCAATTCCAAATCTCTGTGGAATTCAAACAAAGAGGAAAAACCCACTCATCTTGGAGGAGTTCCAGGGACAGCAAAAGGAGGAAATGAAATTAAACATCAAATGCATTTTTCAGCAACAGTTTCACGTGCCTTATTGTATGGCTTGTCCCAGTTTGTTCAAAACATTCATTTTTTCCTTTCTTTCTATTGTTTTAACTCTTTTTAAGGATTGTCTCCACCACTTAGTGGAGGGTTTAAAGGCTGAGGTTCTCTTCTGGCTCCCAGCCTTTCTCTTCCTGCCAAGTCTGAGTTCAAGGGGTGGGGGTCCCCAAATGAAATCCAACAGTTCTTCAAAACCACAGCTGTTGTCTCAGCCATCATTAACAGCCCTGCTCCAAATTTTAGCAGAGCAAAGATCAGAGAGGAAAAGACACTGATTGACTTTAACAAAGTGCAAATAGTCTGTTAGTTTTTAAGTGTTCTCTCTCATAAATTAAGAGACACCAGTGAGTTAATTTTCTATTACTGGTGGGAGCAGGTGACAAAGAAAGATGGCACCCGGGGTATTATACTTACATTGCTCATGTTAATTGCATTTGCTTTTGCCAAAACAATCTCGGGGATATCAGGCATGATGTGGACTTTGGTCTTGTCAGCTTCCCATGCTTGTCTATAGAGATGCTGGGGGGAAAGTACAAGGTGGTATTTAAAACTCTTAAAAAGATCGCGCTATACATATGCACATTATCGTGTGTATACAGGTCTCAGATTTTGTGTATCTAAGTGAAAAATAACATGAAGAAGAAGGTGCAAGACAGAAAATCCAAGTGACCCATCCCTTTGCCTTAAGCCTAGAGATGGGCACTCCCTCCTGGAGCTTTCTAAGCATACTGTTTCAAAATAAAAGTAAAATCATAGAACATATAATATTTAGAGCTGGCTTTTTTTGTCACAAAATATGGATCAGGCATCTTGGAACCTTCTGAAAAGAATTCTCTCTCCATCTAGGAAGCCGCAGAGGCATGATCCAACTGGTTTAATCAATTCTCCATTGACAGACATGAATCTGCAGTTTCCAGTCTGTTTCTAGTGCAGTGACAATGTTTGGACATGTGCCGCTCAGGTTTCTAGTCCAGGGAGGACCCGCTTATGGTCATCTGCTCTTGGTCCCTGGCCAAGGCTGTGTTGAATCTGCATTGCAGGTCCTTTACTTCGAGACCTCTCTCCTACAGGTATGTCATACTTAGCGTCACTTGCCAATATTTAAAATATTTCTAAGGTACTATCATCAAAAAAAATTCCTACAAGACTCAAATTCCATATTGACATCTCTTTCAGAACCTCTAACCTGTAAGAAACACATGCGTGTGTCTTGGCACACACAGAGGTTTCTGTAGGGTAAGGAACATTTTTCTTTTCCCCACAAATATTGATTAAAATGTTACATTAGTATGTACTTGCTCGTAGATACAGTGAATGGCATAGCTCTGGCCCACTGTCTGTGGCTAGTCTTTGTTTTAGCCCAGTGTTAGCCAATAAAATTTTCTGTGATGATAAAAATGTTTTGCATAAACCAATATGGTAGCCCCAAGCTCGACAGGGCCACTGAGTACCTGCATACTTGACAGTGTTAAAGAGGACTAATTGTTCGTATTGCACTTGTTTGTAACACACACATGCACGTGGCTTGTGATTTATAGGGCTGGTGGAGTTCTAGTGGAAAGACAACAGCTAGTCACTAGAATCTTTCTCAGCCAGACCAGCGTCCACCACCGCAAGACTTACGTCATTCATGATTTTTGCGTTGTTCTGAGCCAAAACCATGTTCATCGAGTCCATCAATGTGGAGTACTTCAGAGTGTCTGGGTGTTGCCGGTACTTCTTTTCGCTGATAATCTCCATGGCTTTCTTGTTTTTCTCCGCTTCCAGGGAGCCCAACGGGAGCCATCCAATGCCCTTCATGAAGTCAGCATAGTCTGCCTTGTACTGATTCTACCGGAGAGGAAGATAAAACAATGGTCAGGAGAGCAAGCGTGCACGGATCACGAACGTGTGTGTGACAGGCCTTCATTTCCTCTTGTTTTCAACCTGCAGCATATGAAATGCCAACCTTTTCCTCACATCTCCACACAAGAAATGACAAATGAGCAAAGGTTTTGATTTGTTTTTCTTGACGCCTTCTTAAAGGGAACATGTGAGAAACAACTAAATGGATTCATCTGCCATGTGATTCACTCTCTTGACTGATAAATTGGTCCAGATGCCCTCATGAATAGGTTAATTCTGAAAATCAGGTTTCTTTCTCCAGCAGTAAGCATTTGAGCACCTACCAGTGTTACGATTTCCTAATGCACACTAGAAATCTGTTAGCACTTGGTACAATTGTGTGAGGTTTCCTCCTCTGCTGAGACATGTCTCCCTGTAACTGTGTGTGGTACTTTCATTTAGACATGGCTGTGTCTCCCTGGAAATTCATAGCCCAGGTTCCTAGTCCAATGAGAACTCTAGGCCTGGCTTGGTGTGGTCTGTGTTTATTTTTATAATGTATATTATTTCATAATGGCTCTGAAATCCTTCCCTCTCTCTTCCCTCTATTCATTCCCAGGGATTCCTCAATCACCCCCTCCTCAACATTCCGTGGGCAGCACAGGCAACTGCAAAGACAGAGGTGGTGGAGGAAAACTGGTCGAGAGTGAAGCCTGGGGCTGCCTGAGTACTGGCATCACAGACATACACCCCCACGCTGGCCTTTCCCTTTCACTCTGCGACTAAGAGCCTTTCACACGTTTGGTTCTCTTTACTAGGCTTATTTCCTTCAATGGATGCTCTCTAAAATCAAATCAGTTTGCTGCTGCTGACCTCTGCCTCCAACAACAACTACAGCACCAAGAGTGAAAGATATTTTAGTTTCTAGAATAGACCCTGCTTTCCATTAAGAAAAAAATGAATTCAGCCCAACGGGATGAATAAGACCCCTCCCTCTTCAGGAAACTGCATGTGGATTTCTTTCAGGATTTTTGAGATGCCATGACGTAGGTCACCCATGAGCTGTTTATGGCGTGGGTAATGGCTCTACACACGTGCATCACTCTCACGTACATCACTTTGAATCTGCATCATATTCTTGGCCAACTCAAAGCCCATGGCATCCGGAAGCATGTTGTAGGTGTGGATTATATTCCTGTAGTTGGCGTTGGTGGCCACTTCCTGGGACTTCTTGGCTGCCACCACGCTGAACATGTCCACTGGGGTGTGGAAGGACGTCTTGGATTTCTCGTAGCCCTTCTTGTACTCCCGGTCTGACTGCATCTTGGCCACTTGCATGAAGTGCACCAACTTGGGGTCTTCTTCCAGGCTGCGGAAGCCAATGTGCTTCCCTTTGGCTTGCTCGTAAGCCTGCTTGTACTTGTACTGCGGACAGACAAGAGACATGGCGATGATCCAAATGGTTCAGGTAAGAGAATAGAATGTGATTCGCTGGGTGCTCCTAACTTTGGTGTAGGTAAAGAAAGTTAGAGCTTCCTATATTGAGACAGAGATGGGCAGCAGAGCCAAGAAGCAATGGCTCTGTACTTCAAATATTGGGAAGGAATCTCAGAAGCAGTGTCTTGGTCCTCACTCCCTCACTGTGTCAACACAGAGGACTGCAAATCCTTAGTATATCTTTAGGATGAGAGCTGGCTATGGACTTCATAGGTAAAGCACATAGATCACACCCTTAAATGTCCTTAAAATTGTCTTTTGAATTCAAATACTAAGCACAACTTATTTTAATACGACTGTATCATTTTTACCTTGAACAAGGAGCAAAATGATTAGAGGGTAGGTATCTGGCCTTCGTGAAGGGAAACATCTTGGGGTAGTGTGTCCAGCCAGTGAGCTGACCCTACCTCACGATCAGGCACAAGTCTGGCTTGCCTGCACCGTCACTCACACTAAACGTGTTCCCGTGGCAGCACTTACATCACTGGCAATGTCTCTAGAGGCCTTTGCAGCCTTTATTGAGATGGCGTCAGGCTTCAGGTCGTAGCCTTTCTTCTTCTCTTCTTCCCAGCCAGCTTTGTAGATTTTCTAAGCCAGAAACCAGAGAAACAACAGGGAGGTGGGACTTCAGTTACAACAGAACTCCTGATTCTAACACAGCGGGCACGTAAAAAAGACAGACATCCCACAAGTGTTAGCTCCCTTCAGTATCCTCCCCCAACTTCTTTACAAAGGATAAACTTACATCACTCATGGTGATCTGGTTCACTCTGGAGAGCAAGATGTCTGGAGTATCAGGCATGACGTGAATGGTGGTCTTGTCTTTGTTCCACTTTTCCGTGTACAGCCTCTGTAAAGAGAAGGTCGGCACATGACGCTACAGTGGAACAGGTTTGTAATAATGGGAGCAGGAGGAGGGCATGGCGGATGAGGCTAAGCCTGATTATACATACACACACACACACACACACACACACACACACACACACACGCACATGCACGCATACACACGACATATTCCTTCCCCCTAACCATGAGACAAAAGCGCTGAAGACTCACAAAGGGCCTTTCGGGCTTCTCAGGCTGAGGCTGGCCCCTGGGCTCTTACCTTATCCATAGTCAACTTGTTGCTTTTGTTAAGTGCCTGCTCCATGGTGTCCATGGCGTATGTGAACTTCAGCTTCTCGGGGTGCTGGCGATACTTCCTCTCGCTCAGAATCTCTCCAGCCTTCTTTGCCTTCTCCACCTCCAAGGAGTCTATCGGGACCCAGCCGATACCTTTCATCCAGTTGGTGAAGTCAGATTTGTACAGATTCTTTATCACGAAGAAAGAAAGTTCATTTCAGAAAGAAGCAGACCTTGGGTTTCTTTGGTTACAAGACTTATTATCACAAAGAAAAGGGAATGCCTAGCATTTACTCATGACAGTGTTATAGAGAAAAGTGGTTATGGAAGCGATTGCATTCATGGTGGTTTTAAACTGGAAATCCTAACATAACAATTTGTTTTCAAACTAATTTTCTTAGCCAGGCAGGATGATACACAGCTATAATCCTAATACTCATGAGGCTAAGATGGGATTGTGGGTTCAAGATCAGCCTGGACTACATGGTGGGCTAAACTGAAAACAATTAGGTAAGACTAAATCAAAAACAAAACAAAACAAAACAAACCACAGCAACAACAAAACAGGATGAAATTTTAAAAATTGCACTGGAAAGATTATAGTATATCTTATTTTTTTCACAGACTACATCGTAGGTGGTCTAACATACACACAATGTTTGTACAACGATGGGTCATTATAGTTACATGAATGAAACTCTCTCACTCCCTGAGTCAGGTGTGATGAAGATGTCTCTGGTGACCCTGGTTCTTCCCCCACACCCACGGAAACAGAAAACTTAAGCACCCCAAGCTAACGGACTGGCACATACGTCACTCTGAATTTGCATGGCGTTCCTGGAGTGCTCCACATTCAAGGCGTCGGGCAGGAGGGTGTAGTTGTGGTAGGGCTGTCTGTAGTTGGCGTTGGTCGCAACTTCCTGAGACTTCTTGGCTGCGGTCACACTGAACATATCCAGAGGTGTGTGGTACCGGGTCTTGCTGGCCTCGTAGCCCTTCTTATACTCGCGATCTGATTGTATTTTGGCCACATTCATGTAGTGAACCAGTTTAGGGTCATCCTGAAGACTGAGAAAGCCTATTTGCTTGCCTCTGGATTTCTCATAGGCCTCCTTGTATTTGCACTATTTGGAAGAGAGGGCCAGACAGAAGTTTGACAGAAATCGAATTTATTTAACAATCTATACAAAGGCCAAGTTCAGTCTGAATTTGACAATACCGAAGATATTTTTAGTATTTTAATATACAACTTGCAAAATATTTCTAATGGATGACTGTAAGACTTGTTCTGAGAATAATATATAATAATTTGCAATTATATCTAGATTGTCCATTAGTAGATTCTTTGAATGTGCCCAAAGGTTCCTGAAAAGTTTATTTCTTAAGCAGTTGTATATTTCTACCTCATTTCCATTAGTAACTTACACTACCTTTAAAGAGTATTTATGGACTCATGACTCCATTTCAGCAAAACTCTACTCCAAATTAAAGTATTGACCTTAAAATGAATTCTTATTACTCTATTATGATAATTACATCAAGTCAACCAGGATATATAATTTAAAAACAATTAAAACATTGTTATCTAACCTACAATGCTTCCCAGTTTCTCTTGTTTCACTGGATTTGTTTCTTGTGTAAATAAATTGTGAAATTAAAACAGTATATTCTTTTAAAATGTTTGGAGACTTTATCTTGACAAAATCTAAATAAAAAATTTAAGCTCACGGTGAAAACAGTAAGACTTTCAAATTTTCCACAACCAAAAAGAAAATGTATCTGTAAATTTTTAATGAAGTTTTAAAAAAATATTTTCAGTGAAGTAATGAGAAAATATCCTTGGCACTCATGAAATAAGGAAATTCTCCTATATTGTAATCTTCTCATGTGTTTCCCTCTATAATCAAGATTTCAAGCACAATGTGCAGATTATAAGACATGCATGGGTTTCCTTACGTCACTAGCAATGTTCCTTGAACTTTTGGCTGCAACAATGGGAATGGCATCCGGTCTCAAGTCGTAACCCTTGGCAAGGGTTTTCTTCCAGTCTGCTTTGTAGTGAGCCTGTGGGAAAGAAAGGGGTTATCCTTTGACATGGTTAAAAGATAATTGGAAACCAATGTATCTTTTCCCAGACATCTACATTCCCTGCTATGCAGAGAACCTGCAGCTACGTGATTGGCTCATCACTTGTGTGCCTGCTACATGCTTTTTGTAAACTATAACAGGGCCTGGAGATAGCGGCCAGTGGTCCTGCCACTGAGGAGGCCGGTTGGAGGATTATGGGTTCGAGGCCCACCTGTATTATACAGGGAGATCCTGTTTTGCAAAAGGAAACAAAACAAAATCCAATTAAAAAAGAACAATGTAAAACCATCAAGCAACACGTGGTGTAATCTCAAGTAATGACAGAATGTCTGTCTGTGCGACAGAGCAACGGAAGGGGTGAATGTAGGACAACAAAACGTTCTCACAAATTCCTGTGTTTTTATTCTCTCCTTTGAGAACATCGTATTTGTGACAAACTTCTCATAATAAAGCAGTTCAAAGTAAGAGAAAGTCATTGTTATCAAAAATTTGAAATTAAGATACAGTACCGATCCTGTAGCTTTCATTGTTAAAATGCTTTTAACAATGTACTCTCTGTACTACAAGAGAAAAGTTTAAGTGGCCCAAAATCATAGAGATGATTACCAAAGAAACCCTGCACATTCAGAAGATAAAAGAGTACCTAAAATGTTAATGTTGAGAATAACTCTCTCTCTCTCTTTTTTTTTTTTAAAGTTACACTATCAGTAAGACAGGTGCATTTGCTGGGCATGGTGGCAGAGGCAGATAGGCCTTTATGAGTTCCAGGCCATCTTGGTCCACATAGGGAATTCTAGGCTAGCGAGGGTTACATAATGAGATTCTGTCCAAAAATAGATAAAAACATATTTTTCAGGTTTAATTCTATTTTAAAATTAGAATCCAAATGTTAGATTTATTTATTTGATTTGATTTTTGTTTTATTTTGAGACAAGGTCCCACTATGTTGCCTGAGCTGGGCTCAAACTCCTGATTGTTATCCTCAATGTCAATGACCAGTGTCCCAAGCTCCTAATATTACAAGCACATTATAAACTCCTGTCTTTATAAATCCTGGTTTAAACATAGTAACCAATTACATGTCCAGACTACCTAATAACTAGTTTCTTTAAAAAGTTCCAACACTCACAGAGGGAACTGAGCTCTTCCAGAAGCTTTAATAAAGAGTTGGAACAAAATTGCACAGAACAGACTATAAACCTTCTCTTTCCAGTCTTGGCTAGACTTTGTAATGTGTTTTGTTTTTAAATGGAATATTATTTTCTGAACTGGTTTTACCATCTACTAGTGAGTCACAGCTCATAGTTAAAAAGAGTATACATTAAGTAAAATTTTGTAGTGACCTCCTACTCCTCTGTTGCCTGTATAAGGGTCCCCCCCTCTGGGTGCTCAAATGGTCTACATTTGGTTTGTTCTCCTTGAATGGCTCAGTAAAAGAACTACCCAGAATTGGGAAAGGGACGTCCCTGTAAGAGATGTTAGACCGGCACCAGGTTAGATACTCACGTCACTCATATTGATGGCATTGACCTTGGCTTGGATAAACTGAGGCAACTCAGGGTCCATCGTGTACTTATGCTTCAGTTTCTCACCCTCCACCTTGTAGTTCAGCTGCAAAGAAAGAAGCACGCAATGTTATGAGCTGACACGGTGGGAGCTTGATCCTGTAGCCATGCCTTTAAAGCTAAGGCTGTCCTTGGTGTTCCCCAAACACAAGACAAATGCATACAACACCACAGCTAGAAAGCCGGAGTAGGTATATTTGTGTCTTTACCTCACCAGGTATGGTGGCAGGTTGTGTTTAAGGTGAAAAAAAAAAAGGCAGAGCTCTCCTCTTGGAACTTATAGTTTAATAGAGGAGGCATGTATCTGTATAAACACGTAAACTATAAACTACAGCTAAATTGGCGATATGTTGAAAATACAACCATATTGGAAAAACTTGGACAATCATGAAGGCAGAGGTAGTGTGTATATTCAGACTTGGGTGGAAGGGAGCATTCTGGGAAGAAGAGCAGTGTTTAGGGACTCAAAGCAAGAAATGGCCTGGCCACATGGAGGAGTTCAGGGCAATTTAAAGTAGGATTAGATAGACAGAGAGCAATCCATGGGACAGAGGTCTCTTCACCTGAGGTAATGAGTTTGAATTTTAATTTCATCCCCAAGGGGAGCCCAGACAATGAGGCTAAGTCATTGCAGTCATCCACACGAGAGACAAGGAACTCTGCCTGGTGACAGTACAAGGACAAACCCTGCAGCAAACTGGCTACTTAGGACAAGGACACAGGCTTGGCAGAGATATAGGATGTGGGGAGGGCATGGAGGGAGTTACATCCAAAGTCACCACCACAGTTCTGACTGGAGTATCTAGGTTTGTGCTGATGGGATTTGACCTTGGGATTTGATATGTCCTTCTGTGTATGTGTTGCTTTTATTGGATAATGAATAAAGCTGTTTTGGCCAATGGCTTAGCAGAGTAAAGTCAGGTAGGAAATCCAAACAAAGATATATAGAGAGAGCAGGAGGAGTCAAAGAGACACCATGTAACTGCTGAAGGAGAAGGATGCCAGAATCTTACCTATAAGCCACAGCCTTGTGATGATACACAGAATTAATAGAAATGGGTTAATTTAAGATGTAAGAGCTAGCTAGGAATATGCCTAAGCTATTGTAATTTAGTATTGTATTTTAGTTTCTATGTGGTTTAGTATTGTAATTTAGTTTCTATGTGGTTACTTGGGTCTGGGTGTCCAGGAAACAAAAGAGCAGTCTCTACTGGTATTTCTTCAGATGGAGCAGACAGAACAGTGAGTACCATTTTCCTAGGCAGCTCCCTTACAACCCGGAATGACACTGTCCCTTAGCACAAGGGAATCCCTGGCATTTATGAGCACTGAAGTACAACGTATCCTTAAACACTGCAGTAACAGAAGAGCTGCGATTACCCTGAAGGGACACGACCCACAGAAGACCCACAGAAGACCCACAGAAGACCCACAGAAGACCCACAGAAGACCCACAGAAGACCCACAGAAGACCCACAGATGACCCACAGATGACCCACAGATGACCCACAGATGACCCACAGATGACCCACAGATGACCCACAGGTCCAAGGCAAGTCAAAAAGCCCTCTACTTTCTAACCTCTGAGGCTAACACAAACATAGGCTTTGCTTTAAATGTTGCTTCTTTTTCTGGGAGCATTGTAAGTGAACCCTGGAAGTATGAGGTGATATGACACACTGGGCACTGGAAGAAAAGGCACTTGCTCTCAGAAACGAGGACAAGGCATGAACTACTGCTCTCTTCCCCAGAGGCCTCATTTGAAGAGCGCCTCCTAGAACGAGCTGTTCTACAAAAGGACTAGGACACTGTGCCGTTTCTCCACGTAGCTGGTAGAACTATACTGCGGAGCAACCAGACGCTTTTACAATTCAAACCAAGTTGACGATGTTATTAGGAACACTCATATCCTGTGTATAACGAGATCATATGAATAGCACAGACTTTCTGTGTTGGGAAAAAAATAGCAAAGTTGGAAAGACCCTACCCCCCCACCACCCCCCACTCCCGCCGTCTTCAAGTTCAACATTGTTTCCAAGGTAGAATCTGTGCCTTCACCTCTGAAAATGGTGTCTGTGTTAACATTTAGATGCATCCTCCTACGCTGAGAGAAGGAGCATGGGGGAAGCGGCTTGGTTGCAGGGTTTACTCGGGGACTAAGCCTTTAAAGGGGAACCTCTTACATCACTTAGCTGCTTGGTGTTCTGCTGAGCCAGCACCATGCCCATGGAGTCAGGCACGCTAGTGAACTTGATGGTGTCCGGGTGTTGTCGGTACTTCCTCTCATTTAGGGCCTCGCCTGCCTTCTTGGCCTTCTCCACCTCCAGGGAGCCGATGGGGATCCACCCAATGCCCTTGAAGAAGTTGTTATACTCATCTTTGTACACATTCTGCAGAAAGAATAAGCTCTTATGAGAAGGTAGCCTTGGGAATACTCAGGGAAGCTTCTGGGAGCTGCAATGCTACACAAAAGAAATGAAAGCCATTATTTCCCCTGCGCTTGTATCTCGTCTGTCATTCGGCTTATTACCAGGAGCTGGAAATGAGAAGTCGCAAATCAGCTGTGGCAGCGCGCATGATCCAATGCACAAGGGAATCTAGGCCGTGCACTTCCACAGCTGTTTGAACTCTGTTTTGTCGATTTTTGACCATAAATTGGGCTTTCTTTTTTAATTTCACTGGAAACTTTGCAAGTCTGAGTTTCCCCCCACACTATCCAGCCAGGTTATTTCTGACCTTAGCTGGGTAGTGAGATTTTTTTTCCACAGCCTGCTCAATAACGGAATAGCAACCATTTCTTCCCCTGACAGAGGACAAGTATTACGGAACTCTGCAGAAAGAAATGCCCTGAATGCTAAACAGCTCCCTGGGCGGCTCTCTATGAATCACACTGCAAGCAGAACCTTCCTGGTTTATTTGATATGACTCATGGCATGGATTTACTTGGATGATGGGGTGACCTTGAGTTTAAAAAAGAAAAAAAAATCCCTGAATTCTGAAAGCATTGGGAATTTAATTTCACATCATCCAGTGATTACCACTCAACTGGGCCCACGAGGGTACCTCTGATTGAGAAGCAAAGTGCCCCATCTCATGAGAAGAACATGGTCCCATCTTCATTCATATGTCAACAGACACAATGCCAATGCTTATAACCATGTAAAGTCAGAAAAACAATGTAGCTTCGGAAGTTTTTGAATGAATGCCGCTTATTCTAATGTATATTTTTCAAGTATCTTATTGTGTGTGTGTGTGTGTGTTTTTTTTTTTAATTTTTGAGACAGGGTTTCTCCGTAGCTTTTGGTTCCTGTCCTGAAACTAGCTCTTGTAGTCCAGGCTGGCCTCAAACTCACAGAGATCCGCCTGCTTCTGCCTCCTGAGTGCTGGGATTTTTTTTCCTTTTTTTTGTGTGTGTATGTTTGTGTATTTTTATTTATTTATTTATTAAAGATTTCTGTCTCTTCCCCACCACCGCCTCCCATTTCCCTCCCCCTCCCCCGATCAAGTCCCCCTCCCTCTTCAGCCCAAAGAGCAATCAGGGTTCCCTGCCCTGTGGGAAGTCCAAGGACCACCCACCTCCATCCAGGTCTAGTAAGGTGAGCATCCAAACTGCCTAGGCTCCCACAAAGCCAATACTTGCAGTAGGATCAAAAACCCATTGCCATTGTTCTTGAGTTCTCAGTAGTCCTCATTGTCCTGGGATTAAAGGCATGCGCCACCACCGCCCAGCTACCTTATTGTGTTTTTAAGCCAAATAAGATGAACGGAAATGATCAATGTCTTTGGGTCTGTTGGGTAATGCATACTTACGTCACTCTGGATTTGGTTAGCGTTCCTCGTGTGCTCGAGACTCAGGGCATCGGGCAGGTATGTGTAGTGGTGCAGAGGTTGTTTGTAGTTGACATTGGTGGCCACATCCTGGGCCATCTTTGCGGCGGTGATGCTGACCATATCCCCAGGGGTATGGTAACTGGTTTTGGTGTTCTCGTAGTTTTTCTTGTATTCTCGGTCTGACTGCAACTTTGCCACTTTCATATAATGGACCAACTTGGGGTCATCCTGCAGGCTTCTGAAACCAACGTGCTTGCCCTTTGACTTCTCGTAAGCTTCCTTGTATTTATACTGTGGAGACAGAACTTGGTTAGCCAAGTGCCATTTGGTACAAAAACGTTTTTCCACACACAAAGGTAAACAGAACATTATGACTTTCTGGATAAGTGTTCACGAAACACACACCTCATCTCGTCCAGAAAAATCACACCAAAACCTAAACTTGGCTGGGACTTCAAGGCAATCCCATGATCAATTTAACAATTTCCACGCCCTTTGCTTGACTCCTACAGATGATTTGTATGCAGAATTATTTTTTTAAATCTACCAGAATATGAACACACTATCTTCCAAACAAAAGACTAATGTCTTTTAGCTCCATAGGGATGTGGCCTTTTCTAATCCGGTTTGTGATTTCTGTTCATGGATGTGACTATCCGTGTAAGCAGTTGTGCCTTCACCCCCTCCCTCCATCCACTGCACCCTCTGCAAGCTCGGGACTGAAGGAACCGCAAAGGAAGGCACTTTGGCAAAGCCAGGAACTGCTGGGGGGTTGGGGGGGGGGAGGTTTCTCATCCATAAAAGCCCAACCCAAAGCAAATCTATTCAAGGTCTTTCACTGCCGGGGGTAGGGGTGGGGGTAGGGGGCATCATTGAGATGCAGACTGAGCTGCACGGTAATAGCTCAGACCCTCGAAATTTATTCAAGAGAAATCAAATCTACTGAACCCTGCAAACACTGAGCACTGGTAGTGTAAATTCATAAGCGAGGACTTAGCAGGTGAGAGGGTTACCAAGGAATTACTTGATATATTAGAAAAGGCTCCAGTGGGAGGAAGGGACAGAATCACACTCCAGACTTTCACTTTTAATAAGTCAGGAGTGCATTTGAGACTCATGTGTACTGTCTGCAAAGTTTGGAAGGAGGCATTTTCAGTCTGTCCCTGCCAGGAAAGCTGTACTGACTTTATACCCTTCTCTTCTATGTGGATTGTATGCACGGTCGGTTTCTTCTCTCTTCTCAAGTCAAGATGGTAGCTCTGGGAATAGAGCATGACAGTGATCCCTGCAAGAAGCGAATGACTAAAAATGTATTTTTAAAGATGAGAAGTATCTGTGTGTGTGTGTGTGTGCACACGTGTGTGCATACATGTATTATAGATTGTAGTGGTTTGAAAGAAAACGGTTCCCAGAGAGAGTGGCACTATTAGGAGATGTGACCTTGTTGGAGGAAGTGTGTCATGGTGGGGGCGGGCTTTGAGGTCTCTTTTGCTCAAGCTTCCCTCAGTGTGGCCATCAGTTGAGTTCCTGCAGCCTGCAAGATGTAGCACTCTCAGCCCCCAGCACCTCATCTGCCTGCATGCCACCATGCTCCCACCATGATGATAACGGACTGGACCTCTAAAACTGTAAACAAGTCCACCCCCAATTAAACGCTTTCTTTATAAGATCTGCTGTGGTCTCGGAGTCTCTTCACAGCAATAAAAACCCTAAGACAGATGAAATGGCACCAACTGACTGAAATGATCACCATCATATCCTAAAAGAGGCAGGCAGGGGTCCTACGTGGCTTAGGGAATGCCTGCTGATATGCAACACCCTCCATTCTTTTTAATGCAATTGTAATGCAGGCATGCATCTGAACTTAACATGTTTCTGTCATTCATTTCATGCTCTCACTGGAAATAAATGCAAACTGCGGAGGAAATGTGTCAGCAAAGGGAATTTTCATCATGTCTCGGGGGAGAAAGCCACTGTTAGACTTACGGCATTGCTAAGCGGAGTCATCTGAGAAAACAAATCCCAACAATGCTGAAATGGCGGCAGGTTTTCAAAACACCATTTTGAAGGGAGTTTGGGCATCGTTAATTTATATGTACACCCAAGCAAGCATGTATCCGATTACTTAAAAAAAAAAGTCACTTAAAATCTTTACTCACGTCACTGGCGATGTTTCTGGAGGACTTGGCCGCTGTGATGGGAATGGCATCAGCCAGGACGTTGTTGCCTTTGGCTATTAAATCATGCCAGTCCCGTTTGTAACAGACCTGGGGTAGAAAAGCAAAAGGGGAGTCAGCACACTGTTTATCCATCCTCTCAGGAATCCCTCAGGTGCTGGCTTCTTTAGTTCTCTCTCTCTCTCGCTCTCTCTCTCTCTCGCTCTCTCTCTCTCTCTCTCTCACACACACACACACACACACACACACACACACACACGAGAGAGAGAGAGAGAGAGAGCGAGAGAGAGAGAGAGAGAGAGAGAGAGAGAGAGAGAGCGCGCGCTAAGGAATTAGACCCCCCCATTGCATGTACCCTGCTACGAATTCACATCAGCAAAGGGTCACATTTGAATCTAGCATGAAATCACAGGTCTCTGGCTAATTGTTCACCCAAGTCTGGCCTTGGCAGATAAAGAAGAGAGATGCTGAAAAACCAGAGTCGTTGAAGGGAGGAATAGTAAAGGCTGTAAGAAGTCTGGTTTGAGAGAAAATGAAACTATGAAGGATGGCTAAGGGGACACCAGGCAGCCATCTTTACAAAATTTAAGGCTATTATGAAAAAAAAAATGAAATCACTGAATTAGAATTTCATTAATTTTAATTTTTGTCCTGCAGGATTATAATCCCTCTCCCTCTTTGTTGCCAACTGGAAAACAAAGCAGAAGTTTTAGGGGAACATGCAATGTGCTCTATATAAGGAAGAGTGCTACACCCCATGAAGAGGGCCTTCCTTGCCATGAGCCAACTTGAGTCAAGAGGCCACCATCCCGAGACGTGCTCTGCTGGGGGACCAAGAGTGGGAAGTTGACTTGGATAATCACCCAGATGCCTCTCCACTCCACAGATCTGTCTATTGCCACATCAGGTCTTCACACCCCGCCAGTGACCCACGCTACTCACGTCACTTATGTTGTAAGCATTGCACTTGGCCTGGAGTAACTGTGGGAGGTCGGGATTCAGAGTGTACTTATGCTTCACTTCCTCTCCTTTCGCTTTGTATAAGATCTGCAATACACAGACACAAGAATAAAGCCCCTTCCACATCAGGCTGAAGGGAAAAGGCCTTAACTGCCCACTGAAAGGACTGGCTCTTTGTAGAGTCTTTGGTCTCCTCCTTTTTCCTGTATGGATCTTGCTATGTGGCCTAGGCTGGCCTAAATCTTTAGACCCTCATGTTCTGGGATGAAAGGTGTGAGCCACGACTCCTGTTCTAGAATAAAACTTTTTGTACCAGTCAAAGGTATCCAATAAGGGGGCAGTAGGGGAGAAACTGGAGGGAAGGGATTGGGAGGTGTATGTTGGTTCTAACCACCACATATCCATGTATGGATAGCAAATAGAATATTTTTACATGTCTCCAGAAAGAGTTTTTTAATGGCAGTGGAAGATGACAGTTTTATAGAGGACAGTTTAAAAATGGTAGTGCCTGGGTAATACAAAAAAATGCCTAAGCTAAATTTTTAATTTTCTTTATTTAACAATTTAAAATTTATTTGTTTTGTGTGTGTAAGTGTCTTGTTTGCATGTATGCTTGTGTACCACATGCACGGTACTTGTCTGAGTCAGGAGCGGGCACTGGAGTTATGGATAGTTGTGAGCCACCATCTGGGTGCTGGGAACCAAACCAGGGTCTCCTGCAAGAGCAGTCAGTGCTCTTCAACACTGAGCTCTCTCTCCAGCCCCCAGCGTTTTAACATTGAATGCACAGAATGCCAAATTAGCAATGAAGGCATCGGCATAAAAGAGTAAGCACATCAAGTAGGTACTCACCCCTTAAAGAGTACCCCCCTCACACACACACAAACCAACCCACAAACCATCTTCTTCTGTACTCACATCACTGACTTGCTGCGTGTTCTGCTTGGCTTGCACCATCACTGGGGAGTCCACGATGCTGGTGAACTTGAGCGTGTCCGGATGCTGCCTGTATTTCTTCTCACTCAGGGCATCACCTGCCTTTTTCACCTTTTCCTGGTCGAGACTCCCAATCGGTATCCAGCCAATGCCCTTCATCCAGGTGTTATAGTCTTCCTTGTAGGCATTCTGCAGAGACAGAGAGGAGGTGTGAGAGCCAGGCCCATTCTAGGAGCCGAGGGGTTGGCCTGGGGACCACGGCACTTACGTCACTCTGGATATGCATCATGTTCTTGGACAGCTCCAGGTCCATGGCATCCGGCAGGTAGGTGTAGTGTTGGAGAGAATGCTTGTAGTTCGTATTGCTGATTACATCCTGTGCCTTCTTAGCTGCCACAACATCGAACATATCTTGAGGGGTGTTGTACTTGGTCTTTGTCTTTTCGTAGTCTTTTTTATACTCCCGGTCTGACTGTATCTTGGCCACGTTCATGTAATGGACCAGTTTGGGATCATCTTGGAGACTTTGGAATCCAACCATTTTCCCTTTAGCCTTCTCGTAATCTTTTTTGTAATGGACCTATTGCGAGTGAAGGGGGGGTATATTTTGAAATGTCGCTTTTAAGATACTGAACAGTGAGGTCATACTTTCAAAGTTTTGAGTTTCCTAGACATTTCTATATGCCCATAACAAGGGGATTGGTTCCAGGATCCCCATTTTGGGCCGACACAAAGCCCAACCCATACTTGAGTCTCTTATATGAGCCATAACCTTTGCACACTCTCCGCGTACACTTCAAATCATCTCTAGACTACTTATAATATCTAGTAAATTGTAACTGCTATATAAACGGTTTTGTGTCATTTTGACGAAAATGACAAGGAAAAATTCTTTAAGCGTTTGGTACAGATGTAATTTTAAAAGTCTTTTCAGCCCACAGGTATCTACGGATATGAAATCTGAGGATAGGAAGTGTCAACTTCTATGTAATATGGTAAAAATAATACACCACTTAGGAGCCTTGAGTGTCTGTATCTATTCCTGCCACCCAAAAGAGATTGGGATCCAGCCTGTCACTGATGTGAACCCTAATTCATATCAATGACAAACTAATTCTTCACACTCTTTCCCCCCATAGACATAAGCAAACGTTATGAAAAAGGGAGCATTTTCCGTTCTTCACCAATTACACTCTGCTGCTAGGGCCCTGGAGCCGCTGAGGATTTGACAACTCTTAACTAAAAGACATTTTCAGAGTCCTTGATTATCGCAAAGGAAACCCAGAGCCAGTCATGGTGAACAGCATTTGGCTTTGAATTGTAGACCGAGGGGGACTGGAGATTCTTGGGGAGGCTTGCAGAGGATCCTGGGAAAGCCAGAGCAGACAGGAGAATGTGCAGGAAGATGGGGGGTACGGGGGACATGGGATGGCTGGAGGATCCACCACGAGAAAGATCAGAGAGACCTTTCAGGAGGGAGGGTTTTTCAGAACAAGGGCATCTGGGTTTGTTTTTTTTTTTCTTTTTTTTTAAATATTTATTTATTATGTATACAATATTCTGTCTGTGTGTATGCCTGCAGGCCTGAAGAGGGCACCAGACCTCATTACAGATGGTTGTGAGCCACCATGTGTGGTTGCTGGGAATTGAACTCAGGACCTTTGGAAGAGCAGGCAATGCTCTTACCCTCTGAGCCATCTCTCCAGCTCCTTTTTTTTTTCTTTTAAAGCTGTATTGTAATTACAGTTGTGTAATAAAAATTTCATTTCAATCAGAAGTTGCCCTTGAATTTCCCAGAGAAATAGATATAATAGATGAAAAAGAGAAGAGAGGGAAAGAGGAGATCACAGAAATTAATAAAGATTAGAGATAAAATTATTCCATCCAGAAGCTATTATAACTTGAATTTCTTCTTGGTTTCTTATTAAAGTAATGTGGATTTATGCAGAAATTTGCACAGTGATTTGAAGTCTTCTTGGTAACTCACAAGTGGACAGTTACACCAGTTCCGACCTCCGAGAATACTAAGGTCTGTTTAGGGTTCTTTCTGTACAGAATCATTTCCAGTCAGGGACACCATACGTGCTGACTTCTGGGTACCCCACTAGGTCCCCTGTCATGCAGGTGACCATGGCTGGACTTACGTCGCTTGCAGCCTGCCGGGCAGCTTTGGCAGCTTTGATGGGAATCGCATCGATTCTCAGGTCATATCCTTTCTTGCTTAAGTCTTTCAGGTCAGCTTTGTACATGCTCTGCAAGAGAAACACCCCTTGAGCAGGACTGCGGAGCCATGGGAGTAAAGGCGGGGTGCGCAGGGCAGCGCTAGACGCACCTCACTGACGTTGTAGGCGTTCACTTTAGCCTGGATGAACTGCGGCAGGTCCGCGGGCAGGTTGTACTTATGCAGTATCTCCTCCCCTTTGGCTTTGTAAGCGATCTAGGAGAGGAGAAACCACGTGTACACCAAGTGTGGAGAGACAGTTAACGGCACTGGGGAACAATTTCAGGGTGGTGTGTCTGTCACAAGGTGATGCTAAGAAAGACACTCTCTGTTCTGTCCCGTCACACATCAGAAAAAAAAAAAAAAAAAAACTCTGTACATTCTAGGACCCTGATGTAGCGGCACAGAGGCCTGTCTCATTGCATGCACACGGTTGGACAAGATTTCCGAGCACTGGCTAGGAATCTCTGGCTCTAGGTAGCGGGTGCCTGGAGGACCTTCAAACCAGGGAAGTGAGCTGGTGGAAATGCTAACCTGCAGCCACTGCCCTGAGCCAGAGCAGGCTAGCAGGTCACAACACAGCAATAATCTATTTAAGACTTTGTGGGAGTCTAAAGGGACTTGCAGGTGGTTTTGATCCTATATAGTTTCTCTTAGCCCCGACTTAAGATATATTCTCCACGGGACCCAGCACCTACATTCATTCTTTCTGGTCTTCCTAGAGATACCTTACCACAGTCATTAAAAGAAGACCCTCTCACTGATCCCTCCGAGAGCCTTCCCTTAGTAGTAGAGGACAGCTGGTATAGAATACGCAACACTCTAAAGTTATGATTAGGTGAGCGTGGCATCATTGGGCAGCAGGAATTTACAGCTGGCCCCCAAGAGGCCCTTCAGATGGTTAAACAGCTCCAGGTGACCAGTGCACTCAAGGGCAGGTTCCTTCATGTTGGTAAATAGTTACGAAAGCCACACACAGGCTGGACACTTACGTCGCTCCTCTGGGCCTGGTTAATTTTAGACTGCACTGTAATAGGAGCATCTTCAATTGATGTGAATTTGAGCGTATCTGGATGCTGGCGGTATTTTTTCTAGGAGAATCAAAAAGAGAAAAAAGAAATTAAAACCGACTCTTAATCCAGGCTCTGTAATGAGAATCCTGGAGATTTACTTTGGAAAGACACAGAGGGGTTCTCTCAGTTTTAAAGTCCTGGAGTCCCGATTACCTTGGATGAGAATGAATACCTACATGAGACAGAACTGAATGGTTTTAAATTGGTGTCATCATGGGCAGTGTGTGCAGGAGAGAGAGGCACAGCTCCCCGGAAGCATGTTTGCACTCCTCAGATGCCTTGCTTATGGTGTGAAAGAGGGGCTTTCTGTTGTGCTGAGCCAGAAACACCACAGAGGTCTCGGAGGGGTTAGCAGAAAAACAAGCAAGAATATTTGGGCTGTCTTTTTTTTTTTTAAACCAACAACAACAGGGTCTTATGTAATATACGGTTGGCTTCAATCTCTGTATATACCCAAGGATGGTCCTGAACTCCTGACCTTCTTGTTTTTCTCCCTTAGATACTAGAGTGACTTTACACAGCCCTAACAACATCAGCAGCTGGAGCAAAGGAGTGTTCTGGTTGAGGGATCAATTAGCAACAGCTAACGATTAATTAGGCAGAGAACATGTCTGCTTTGCAGCCTTATTGCGTATACATAGGCTTCTTATGTATGGGACACTGATGTGCTGGAAAAGAAAGAAAGAGGGCCGTTGGGAAGGCAGCCTCATGGGGGAGCTGACAAAATGTCACTCCTTCTATGCCTGTCTTCTCTGCCGATCTGCAGTCGCCATCCTTGGGGCATACTGTACATTGCAACTTTTCCATATATTTTAACTCCGCTTTTTCAACTCCACACTTCTGAAAACTACCAGCACTGGAAAGACACTTCCTGAAAGACCTCTGGGAAGGCAAAAATGCTTTCGCCCAAACCAGACAAAAGTGCACAGAAGCGAAAACACTTTCGACTTGAGCACGGTTGCCACGCACCACTGCCCCTGTGTCTGCGCTGTGTGCTGGCACCCAGTTCGCGAGCTTTGGGCAAGGGGACTGGAGGTTAAAATACACACACACACACACACACAGACAGAGAGACAGAGACACGGGTCATCCTTGAATTCCCCAAGAATGCCCCCTTTATTGTGTTCAGGGGCAGATTATATAGAGATAGCCATGCCCCAGCCAAACCCACCAGAACCCACTCTCCTGCCATCAGGAACTCCTGAAGGTCTCGTGCTCATAGCAGCTGTAGGCACTCAGATCAGGGGAAAACAAGAAATTCAGGATCTGGGGTCTCACTGCTCCCAACACACTGTGACAAGCCTTACTTTGCACGTCTGTCCTTCACACCCTCCCCTTTCCCTGGTGATGCAGTCACGTGACAACAGTGTGTCTTCAGCTGTTGCTGGAGAGGGGACAGACACGGTGTCCATAGGAAGACACTCAGGATGACCACTGCCTTCTAAGCCTGAGTGGCAATTTGTAACTATGCAAGAGTCATCAAGACTATAATCGAGGGCACAATTTTTAAAGCTTCAACAGCTACATTACGCAGAAGTACTCCAGGCTAGAAGTAAGCCACACCTCTACCAATAGGTCAAGAGGCCATTAACATGTGACATGTCTTTGCAGAGGAAGACCGTGTAATTAAAAGATAAAGAAAAGGAATGAATTTTAGGTATAGGCAAAAGCATCGAAAGAAACAAAAGAAGCCTCAAAGAACTTTCAGAAAAGGTAAAATTACAGAGGTCAGAAGCGGTTCAGTAACAGCCTTGGGTTGACAGGCAGGGGTTCTTCATGGAGCATTAGAAGCATTTAAAATTAATTTCTAAGGTGGGGTTCATGCCTGGAATCCCCATACCCAGAGGCTGAGGCAAGATCACCACCACATGTTCAAGGCCAGCCTGGGTGACAAATTCTACACCAGTCTGGATTACAGAGTTAGACTTTGTCTTAAAATAAAAACAAAAGTAGAAAAAGTATCCCGGTGGCAGCAAGTCCAAGACCGCACGGATTCTGTCTAAATCAGGTAAAATTCACATTGCGTGGATAAAGTTGTTCAGCTCGATTTGAGTGTTTTACACGAATAGTTTAGATGCTATATAGGGGCATGTATATATTTCTGGATTGTTGGTGCTTTAAGAATCTTTGTCAGCAGCAATGGCCAGAAAGGGAGGTTAAAAAAAAGTGCTTCCTGTAGCCCTGCATTTTAATGGGATGCTGTCCCCTCTAGCGCCCCAGTGGCCTTACCTCATTCAGAATGTCCGAGGCTCGCTTTGCCTTTTCCATCTCCAGGGACCCGAAAGGCACCCAGCCACAGCCCTTCATCCAGCTGTTGTAGTCCGCTTTGTACTCCACCTACAAGAAAGAGGAGCCATGTTTTCCTTCATTGTTATTGTTATACCAGCGACGGGCATTTTACTCAGGGTTTTAAAGATGTCTGGGCAGGCGTGTTGCTCCACACATGAACGTATTTTTGGTGATAGCTTGGAACGCCTGGAGTATTGCTTTCTAATGGTCATGTCCTCCACTTCCCCCTTACGGTGAACTTAATTGAAATGTGTAGAATTTTGATATTAACCCAGAAAATGATCGATTCCAGGCTGTATTTCAAAGAATAAATGGAATGATGATATTGGGACCATTGGCTGTAGAGGTTTGCACCCTGGAATGTTAAGTGTTGTATCTCTGTGACCAAATTAGGCCGGAATTGATGACACAGAATTAAAGGTGAATAATCTTGGTCATTTTCTATTAATGTTTGATGGTAGTTATTTGTCAAAGCCCTGGCACCCACTGTCCTTCATGTATAGCGACCATCTTAAAAGGGCTTCTGCATTGGCCAACAAAGCACTTGGAAATAGTTCTTGTTAATTTGCTTAAGGAGACAGCTATTATTTGGCACTGATATTATGTGGGGACAATCACCAGGTGTCATTAAGATAATGAGCTCGGGTGTCATCGGACCATAGATGACACCCGAAATTTATCTCTAGAAATCAACTGAAAATTCTTGTTCTTTAGAATGGATCTAAAAAAATAAATAAATAAATAAACTGAAGTAGAAAAAAAAAACCAATAAATCAACCTTGCCTCTGGGGACCTTCAAATAGAATTGTATTGCAGACACAGAGGAAAATTAAATAATTAGGAATCAAGATCTTGCATATAGTAACTGTCACTGGTAGTAAAGTGGAGATGAGAAATATATATATTTTATCCTCATATATGGACCTAACAAAATCAAACTATCACTCTGTATTTTGATACAGTCTAATAGAAATTCCTGCCTGGAAACTGTCGGACTGCTTAGAAAATAGAACAAGTTAAAGTTTTACTCAAGGGTGCTAAGTTCATTCTGCTCACAGGTTAAAGCCCCTTCCTCTTGCCTTGGGATGGCAAACACTTGCAGAAAAAAGCCTAAAAGAACGATTTTGGCAGCTCTCAAAGGTCATCTCACAGATCCTGGTCGCCAAGGAAGGGATGCTTTATTTGCTATCTGCGAGCGTTTGTGTATTTTAATTTCTTCCTGCGGACATGTCTGCGATGGAAATTCCCTGTGCTGAGCATGGGACTCAGAGACTGGCCTTAGATTGTTGCCCTGTTACCTGACCTATAAAAGTTGAGCTTTCCAAAGCATGAGATTTGGGTTTGTGCCCAGATGCTATCAAGCTGAGTTTGCCCTGTCTTCTCCGACTGCCTGCTTGGTTCTGTGCTGACGGGTAGGAGTGTAAATTCTTCAGTCACTGGAAAAATAGCTTCAGAGAAAACTAAAAGACTGTCATATGGCCTCATGATTTGACTTCTGGGGTATCCACCCAAAAGAACTGAAATCAGACATTGACAGGACAATCCATTACTCATGGTCACATGAACAATTCCCAGTAGCTAGAAGGTGGGAGCAAACCAAACAGCGGCCAAGAGAAGAGTGGATACACAAGACGTAGCATCCATTGATAAAGAAGACTGCTCAGCCTTCACAAAGAAGAAAACTCTGACAAGAGCTGTAATAAGTGTAACTGAGGACACTATGCTAAGGGGAAAAACTCAGTTTCCAAGACAAATAGTGTGTAACTCCACACATGTGATGTGTCTACAATAGCCCAACGTATAGCAACAGGTGTTTTCTGGGGGCCAGAAGAGGAGAGAAAGGGGGATTTATTGCTTAATAGAGCCCTTTGATTTTCTGGATCATCTCGCTGGCCCTTAGCATCCGTTTAAAAACTCAAAACAACTTTTGATTTACTCTAGTTTAACAGCCAAGGACTCTCAGCTCGGCATGGTTGCAAACGTTTCCAGAAGGAAATAGTAACAGCACACACCAGACACAGGTGTCCAATCCCGAGGACACGCGCTTCTAAGAACCAAGGGACCATTTCCCTTGGATCTCCATGCTTCCTCACGAAAGGCAGATGCTTCAGAGAGGACTAAAGGCTAGGCTCGGGCTAGATCCTGTCCCATCTCCCCTTCCAAAGAGGGGAAGAGAAGGCCTCTACTCACATCACTCTGCAGCGCGTACGCCTTCTTGGCGAGGTCCACGCTGACGCTGTCTGGTGGGTAGCTGTAGTTGTGTAAGACGTGCTTGTAGTCCACGTCGCTGGCGATCTCCTGAGATTTCTTAGCTTGGGTGACTTGGAGCATATCAAGAGGGGCGGTGTAGATCGTTTTCGACTTCTCGTAGTCTTTACGGTATTCACGCTGGAAGAAGAGAGCGTTTAGTCCCTCTCGCCCTTACTGAGTTCTTATGACAGTAGAGTAAGTGTAACTTAGAGTAATAGGTGCAAACATTTGAGTAATTATCTTGCCTCATATTTGTTCTCATAACTTATATCATCAAGTTCCGCTAGAAAAAAAAATCATATATGAATCTTTCCAAATTTATTTGACTTTTTTCTTCTGACTTTTTAGTCTTGCTGGTATGGCTCTAGCTGGCCTGGGACTATCTATGGAGCCCAGGCTGAAAATGAACTTACGGCAGTTCTCCTGCCTCAGCCTCCTGAGTGCTGGGATTACAAACATGAACTACCACGCCAGCTTCTAAAGTTTTTCAGCCAGAGAACAGCTATCAGTAAGCTCAGGGGACTTTACCTGCCTTCTTACATCTGGTGGGCTGTTATTTGCAGGGGATGAGTTTAAAAATTATAAAACCCAAGCCCTGAATGATAAATGGAAAGCTTGGGAATGAGCTGTGCCACACAAGCGCATGTTTAAAGCCTGTCCCGCAGGAAAGGGACGAACTAGGCGGTGCTGCAACAGCAGCTGCGGAGAGGGGATGCGGGGGAGCGATTTGCTGGACTGTTCAGATGCTCGTGTTTATGTTCTCAGCAGCGGACACACATCAGCATCCATAAAACGCTGCCAAAACACACCACAGAAATCCTTGCGCCTTTGTGTTTATTGCCGAAATATTATTCACAATAGCCGGGAAAGGCAACTGCCCTAGCTGTCCATCAGCAGACAAACTGATCCAGAAAACATGGTTTCTCTACACAATGGAATTTTATGTAGCCGTAAATAAAAATGAAATTAGGGCATTTGAAGAAAAATGGATACAAATGGAAATTGTTGTGAGTCCAAACAAGGCAGGCTCAGAAAGGCAACCTCCATGTTTGGTCTTCTATGGTGCTTAAATTTAGACTTCGTGTGTGTGTGTGTGTGTGTGTGTGTGTGTGTGTGTGTGTGTGTTGGTAGATAGGTCACAAACTTCAAAGGGAGTGAGAAAGAAGAAAAGTCCCTAAGGTAGATGGGAAACAGAGAGGGAAATGGAATACAGATGACAAGGAGGGGGAGCATGGTGGCTTGACAGAAAATGGCCCCCATAGGTTCATAGGGAGTGGCACTATTAGGAGGCGTGGCCTTGTTGGAGTAGGTGTGGCTTGATGGAGGAAGTGGCTTTGAGGTCTCTTAACCTCAAGCCAGTTCACTTCCTGCTGCCTGCCAACCCGGATGTAGAACTCTCAGCTCCTTCTTTAGCACCAGGTCTGCCTGCATGCCACCATGCTTCCCGCCACGATGAGAATGGACTGAACCTCTAAACTGCAAGTCAGCCCCAATCAGATGTTTTCCTCTGTAAGAGTTGCCACGGTTGTGGTGTCTCTTCACAGCAACAAACCCCTAACTATGTCAGGGAGACTAGTTAGGAATCAGAAGGAATGGAGCAGGTCAGAGGGCGAACATGGAGAAAAGGCAGTGGGGAGGTGACGCAAGGAGAACAGAGTCTAATGACACGGTCATGTGTGAAGATGCCGTGATGGACATGGTCAAATTGCTTTGTTTGCTAACCTAAAAAATCCATTCTAAAAAATCATTGAAGATGCACATGACTTTCAGGAAAAGCCTCCTTGCTAGACACAGCTTAGCATTAGCCTGGACTAACGAGACTGGTGATGTCTGTCGGTTGCAAATGTCAATCAATTAATAAGAATTCACAGGTTGGTTTTGCACCTAGTGCTCTAATGCTTTCAAGGACAGGATGAAAAACAAACCAGTAAGAATGCTGTAGGTGTCTGTGGCATCAGTGGAGACGTGGCTCTGGCTTTTGAACCTGAGAGGGCACACAGAATGGTGGAAACCCAGTGGCATTGCAGGAGCACTGTGTGATGCTCACAGTAATGATAAAGAAAGCACACACGGATTATTGTGTGCGCACATGGTTGAAGCAAGTAAACGGTACCCACATCTTCCTTCTTCACCATGGAAACCAGTGTTTGAAAGCTATGCCAAACACTGTAGCCACTCTTAAAATATCTTCTAAGCATTATGAACTGTAATTGGCAAGAACAGATGCTTGTTTCTCTATAGTAAAAAAAACTAGAACAGGATAAATGACCCACAGATCACTTTTATGGAATCCTCAAATCCCTGAAGTTAAGGAAATAGGTATGATGAAGAAAATGTTCCACAAATGTGGTATTTTATAAATCATATTTTAAAAAAGGCTTAATCATCAATGGAATTTTCTTCTTAGGTGGAGACCACTACCAATTATTAAAGACAATAGTAAGCATTGATAATCATACTTGATTTTATATTGGAAGTTCATTAGTTTCTTCTAAAGACAGTTTTCAAATCAATTTAAAAGCTATTTCTCAATTAGATTTAAACACCTTAGAGATTTATTATAGGAGGTTTTGAGAACAAAAACTGACGCTCTGTTAAATATTAATGCAGAGTCTTCAAAGTGGAATGGATGTCAAACACTGCCAATAATTTCTGTTCTCAAAGGTGAGGCACGCAAGAGACGGGGCCCACACGACCTCTAAAGCACTCAATAGGTTCTTATGAACTTGAGAGCCCAATGGGCACAAAACCATCCAAGTGGAATCCTTCCACACCCTGCATGTGGTCAGTGAAGCCATCTTGACAAGAGGGCAGACACTCACGTCGCTCTGGTTTTTGGCCGTCTTCAGGGAGTGCAGCATCTTGGGGTCATCGTTGATGCTGAGGGCGCCGATCATCTTGCCTTTGCTCTTCTCATAGTCCTTCTTGTACATCACCTGCAGGGACACCACACATGCTAACTGCTCAGCAGGGACATCCCAGGCCAGCAGCCCATCCCAGCCCAGTCCAGCCCAGGGCCACACTCACTTCGCTGGCATTCTTGCTGTTGGCCTTGGCTGCCAGCAGGGGGATGGCATCCACCTTGATGTCAAACTTCTTAGCTTTGCTCTTCTCCCAGTCTTGCTTGTAGACATTCTGGGAAAGTTTCAGAATTTTTTTTTTTTTAAAAAAGGACATTTTTAACAGGTTAATCCCGTGAACATAAGTTGAAAGTTTGTATCTATAAACCTATTTCATCTATGAGTAATTTATTAACCAAATAGTAGTATAACTATTGGTGTACTATATAGTTTCTCCTATACCACTAAAATTATAGATAGCATATTCTGTTTTAATTGTTTAAGAACATTCTAGAGCCCCTTGTCTATACCACCAATAACTATATAACCGACATCCACTTAGAAAGGGGAAAATGACACATTTACATGGGAGAAATCTCAAGAACTCTAGAGACTATCAAACAGACACCTGAGAGAATGCTTGTGACAATAACAGAGGCCAAGGACACGACATCTGATAATGAAGTAGGTCCCCAGAGCCTGGGCGACTGAAAGTCGTCCCACGTCCACTGCTGACTGTCTCCACAGCTAGCAGCACCGAGTCGAGCTCCGCGTCTTCCGGCAGACTTGTACCTTCTCCCCATACTTACGTCGCTCAGGTTGTAAGCGTTGACTCTGTGCTGGATGAACTCCGGTGCGTCTGCCGGCACGTGGCACTTGAATTTCTCACCTTCATGCTTTGCTTTGTAATTCAGCTGGGGGTGGGGGGGGGGAAGAAGGGAGAAGTTGCTGTGGGCCCCAAGCTTCAGGGAAAGAAGGGAGACATTGTTGTGGGCCCCAAGCTTCATGCAGTTGAAACGGAATCCCCTAAAGTCATGTGGGCGCTGTTTGACAGGAGGTACCTGTCAGAGGTGATTGGCTCACAAGATTTGTGCCCTCGTGAGTGGATTCATCCGCAGTAGTGGCTTTATTAGTCAAGTGAGCTCTGAGGAGGGCTTGATCTGTGTCTCCCCTAAGCAATATCTGCACCATGTGGTGATTCAATAGGACACCCTTGACTGAGCTGGCACCAAGTCCTTAGACTCCCTAGCCTTTGGAACTATGAACTAAGTAAACCTCTATTCTTTTTGAGGGGTGAGGAGGTGGTTTTAGAAATAGCATCTTACCATGTAGCCCAGGGTACCCTCAAGCTCAAGATTCCCCTGCTTCGGCCCCTCAAGTGCTGAGATTTCAGTCCAGGGTCACTTCTACTGTTTATAAATTACTTGGCCCCAGGTATTTTTTCATAGCAGAGAAAATGGACTCAGAAGATATTCAATACAGGTCAAAGCAGGGATTTCCTTGAATTTGTGTAGGACAGTATTGTGTCTTTTTAAGGAACACGCTTCAAAGAGCTTCTTAATCTTGTCAGCGTCTCATTTCCTCCCTCAGAAGGATTGTGGGAAACTGGACTTCACTTAGACATGTCGTAGCTGTTGCTATACAGTAGACGTGTTAATACATGCCTCACTGACATCACAAGAACGGGCTTGGAAGGCATGAAAATGCAGTTACGGAATTCTGTTATCAGTGCAATAACACCACCAGAATAATTCCCGGGGACAGCTTATAACCCAGTTCTAAAGTGCTGGCCACACCGTCGCTGCTTCAGGCTTTCCTCAGTTATGCGCCCACAGTGCTCTTCCGGTGGTTCCTCTCCTCGTCATCCTAACCTAGCTCTTTGTTAAAGTATAGTTGCTTTATTTCCCCTCTGTTCTTTTTCCTTCCTTAATCTCCTCCCATGCCCTCTTACTCCCTCTCAAATTCCTGCTCCCCTCTTCCTTCAATTCCTACTTTACATACACACATGCACACATGAACACACACATACACGCATACATAAGTCAGCATGACCTGTTGAGTTCATTCAGTGCAGCCTGTATGTACACGATTATTTCAGGGCTGAGCACTAGTACTCGATAACTATGGGGTTCCTCCCTCTCTCACTCTCAGCACCCCTAATTGTCAGTAGTTCTCTGTCTAGGGGTGGGGCTCCCAAAGAATCCCCCTTCACTTTAGCATGTCTGCGGTATCATTGTCCAGGTCTTGCATAGACAGCCATACTATTGAGGTGTCAGGAGTGAAGCTTGCCTGTCATTTCCAGGAGACACAGTTCACGGCAGATTTCACGGTCCTCTGCCTCTTAACTCCTTCCACCTACCTCTTCCTCCGTGTCTCCTGAGCCTTAGGTACAGGAGACACTGAGGAAGAGGTGATGTAGCTATTGGGCTAGCTTTAATTTTAAAATGCTTTAAATTACATTTTAAAACTATTTGTTTGTGTGTGTGTGTGTGTGTGTGTGTGTGTGTGTGTGTGTGTGTGTGACAAGTTTGACAAGAACTCAGAGGACTACTTTTGGAAGTCAGTTCTCTACTTCCACTACGTAGAAGGAGATTAGAGATTGAACTCAGGACATCAGACTTAGTGGCAAGCACACACTGAACCATCTCAGTGGCCCCCATATTTTAACTCTATGTTTCCTGCTAACTGCCTGGAATAAGGCTTTGTTATAGTACACCTTTTTCCTTTTGCAAAGTCTTTGTGACTTTACCAGAACAGGAATACTTTCCTTTCTGCCCATCAAACGGATACCTCTGCTGCAACTGTTTTCTTAAGGGGCACGAAGCTCTAGTGTGTTCATGGGGCACATTTTAATAAGTAATGCAATCTTATGAAAAAAAAAATCAATGGATTACTTAAAAACTCTCAGTTACTATATTGCTGCCTATCAGTCTGCTGGGGGCTGCAGCTCAATCTAGCAGCTTCACCTGCACTTTATTAAGCAAAATCTGAAGCGTGGCATTAATGGCATGACAGAAGAATCCTTGAAGACACTGAGATTTTCAGTAAGCCATCCCTGGGTCGCCCCCTCCGACGCGAGTCAGGAAACTTACATCACTGAGCTGTTTGGTGTTGAGCTGGGCCTGCAGCAGCACAGGCGTGTCGGTGACTGCTGTGAATTTAGTCTTATCAGGATGCACTTTGTAGGTGTGCTGGAAGAGAAGACAGCCGTCGCTGACGGTCCACACTGGAGTTTTCTATTCCTGTTCGTCCCACACCAATGCAGCGGATGTTTACATCCAAAACTTTGCTTTCGTTAGTTCTGAAAAACTGGTTCGTTGCTAGGATCCTCGTCTTCTCTTTTTCTCTTTCCCTTCTTTCGTCTTTCCCCCTCCCATCCCAGGGTTAAGCTGCAGAAGTGTAGCATTTATACTAAAATATAATAACATTATTTTCCTCCATTTCTTCTTCCCCCTCCCTCCCTCTTGTTTTTTTTCTACATTTGATATTAACCAAAAGGCTGAGAAAGTACCTAGTTTTCTGCTGCATCTATGCAGCTGGTATGCCTCTGCACTGAAACTCGTGTCCAGTCAGGGCTGTACTTTGAGCTATGAGTTCTGCACATCCCACCATCCTTTCCTGTTTGTATCCTCACTCATCCTCCCAGCACATCCCAGTCTCGTCTTCTCTCAATGTCCCTTTCTCTCAAGACTGTTCTTTCTGCCCTGACCTTGTCATGGCAGACCAGTCTTGCTTCAGATTGCCTGGGTCCGTCTCTTCCTTGCTCCTAAGTGTTCCTTCTTCACTGCCTGTCTCTTCCACTCTCCAACAGAACTTACTGAAGATCAGGTCACCATGGTACCCTAGTCTCCAGCATCAAGGACAGTGCCTGACTCATGCCCTGGTATTGCTTTGTTGGGCAATGAAGACTCCGATTATGACAAACCTGGGTAGTGTCCTTTTGCCCTGGATTAATAGCTGTACATACTAATGAAAATAAAGACATTGAACCTGAAAGAATTTCATAGCCAATGGACTTCTTCTTAGTAATTCTGGTGTTCTCCAATCCTACCCTCCAAGGCCCAATTTAAATAAAATATCCTATCCTGACCACTAGGTGAGAGCATTTAAACCCTATGAAAGATACCACTAGATGTCACAAGCATCCCACACCCAACCTGAGGAACTCAGGGCCGCTGACTTACTTCTTTACACTGGTCCAGCTTCTTGATAGCTTCGTATTCCTGAGTTATCGTCTGAGGGAAATAGCATTTCCCTTTGTCTTCTTCATACTCTGCTTTGTAGCTCTTCTAAAAATCACAAGGACAAAACCAATCAGGATGGCTGCTGCCTCCCAAACAATGCCACCGCCGGCCCGAGTCACGGGATGCAAACTTACGTCACTGTTTTGAGCTGTAACTTTCATGCAGTGCGTCTGGTACGGGTCCTCAAAGCTGCCTACATAGTGGCCCAAAATATTCTTTACGTATGAATCTTTATATTTTGCCTAGTAGAGAAAACACAATGCTTGGCGTTAGCAGTGATTTTTCAACGGGCAGGAAAAGCCATCCCCGCCCAAGAAGTGGGCGTGGCCCTTTGCACCTCACTGAAGTTCTTCAGAAGGGTGTCGAGTTGATACTTAGGGGTCTCACAATAATTCATACTCTTGGCCTTGGTCTTCTCATAGTTTTCCCTGTATAGCCTCTGCCAAAAGAAAAAAGAAAACTGAGCAAAGAAAAATACATCTCACACACCAACAGCCAGACTTGACACAATGTGACGGGATGGTGATGTTTTATTCCACTGTTTTCCACCATGAAGAAAGGACACCCTTGAGGCTCATGTCTTGTATGATATTAGGTGTTAATAGTGGCAAGTGCTCATATTGCTTAACTCAGTATTGCTCAGACCAAAAGAGAATGCACCTGCCACTCAAGAGAAGTTCTGCCTTGAAATAAGTGCCCCATTTCCCTATGCTTGAAAAACATGAATTACCTAAAAAATTGGAGTAAAACGAGTCCCGAGGCCTAAGCAGGGCCGGAGGACACAGGCACCTCCACAAAGTCATGAGCTCGGCACTTGGTCCAAACACATGTCGTCATACTCCTAAAAGCGGGCCTTCCCAGCTAACTTATGTTTCTTGTATAGCAGCTGTCCTTGAATGATGGCTTTAAGATTTTTTAGTTCTTTAATGTGTATGTCTGTCATATGCTTTCCCCCCACTCCCTTTTAATTTTCTCATATAGTAACCCCAAAATACACTCAATAAGACAGGGAATATTGTAAATGACATGAAATGTAAGAATTTCTTTCCTATTAGGAATTACAAACGCAGTTTTAGTAGATTTTTTTGTCTAAAGTAAGGATTAAAGTCTTCATAATGAAGCCAACATTTATAAAATCCTCAAACTGAAATATCTTGCTTTGGCATTCATGCTTCATCTGGCGCTACCGCTTTGTCTCGCAGTTGGTCTTCTCACTTCTTGCTGTTTGTTTTCCGCGTATCCTTGCAAACACCTTAGTTCAGGGCACTGAACGGGTGCGCGCCCACACTGATACTAGGAACACTGTGTATACTTACATACTTAGCCCACTCCTGGGAAACGAAGAAAACAATGTTTCTAGGGTTTGTTTCCTCCTCATAAAACAAAGGCAGAGAGGAGATGAAAGAAGCAAGCTTCCCAGGGAAGAATGATGTCACAAAACAGTGAGTCTCAGCTAACCAAAACCTCTCCACATTTAGTTATGTGAATCAGATTTGAGTGTAGGCTGACGTCCAACCCAAGGTTGTATTAATTGGTAGGGTACCCACATCAAAACATAGCGGTTTTGCAAAGACACTCACGTCGCTCTGGTTTTTGGCCGTCTTCAGGGAGTGCAGCATCTTGGGGTCATCGTTGATGCTGAGGGCGCCGATCATCTTGCCTTTGCTCTTCTCATAGTCCTTCTTGTACATCACCTGCAGGGACACCACACACGCTAACTGCTCAGCAGGGACATCCCAGGCCAGCAGCCCAACCCAGCCCAGGCCAGCCCAGGGCCACACTCACATCGCTGGCATTCTTGCTGTTGGCCTTGGCTGCCAGCAGGGGGATGGCATCCACCTTGATGTCAAACTTCTTAGCTTTGCTCTTCTCCCAGTCTTGCTTGTAGACATTCTGGGAAAGAAATCAGCAAAAGAGAGATGCCTGTCATCACACCTGAAGACCGAGGCTAGGCTAACTCATGGGTGTATCAGCGGTGTATTCCTAACAGAAAATAAATAGACCTGTTCATGGTCTCGCAATTGTGCATATTTAAGCTAATTCCCTTTAAGACGGAGCTTCTAATTCTAAGACTAGGTTTCTTGTTCTCCCTCAGAATCTTTCAAATTAGCTCAATTCCAGGGCCACACTAATATCTGAGCCCGGAACTAAAGAGTAGAGAGTGGTCCAGGCATGCAGTTAGCTCACTCTTGGTGGTTTCAGGTATCGCTTTCGTTTGTCCTTTAAATCCACTCAGAGGTCATTTCATGAATCATTCTACTGCCCAGATAATCGCAGTACTTGTTTTGGGAATTGTTGAAGAAGCTAAGAGGATAATTTAACTTTTCTATGAAATTTAATTTGGAAAATGAAAGCTGGCAATGGATTCCTGGCCTTCTGCCCTTCAGATCCTCAGTGTTATCATTAGCATAAGCTTTCTTACATCTAGACACAAGTCTAATTTGTGTAAAACAGGACACTATAAGCCTGGGGAATAAAGGAAATCATTCCTAAAAAAGATCATATACTAGGAAAATTGAATTATGGCGTAGTACACATAAATGCTTCTGGCAGATGTAACATTAAGATTTACAATGAAACACACACTCATGGTGACATCCTAGAGGCCGGCTAGAAAATATTAAGGTTACTAACAATTAAACGAAGCTACTTACAAAACGACTACACAGAGGCAGCAGGGATATGCAAGGTCAGCTTAAAGGGACGCTGACAGAAAGGTAGACACGTGACGTGAATGTCACGGGTGCTTCCTAGCTTCACCACTGAAGTAGTCACTGAACTACAATGAAGCAACTCAACACTAGGCACATGGCTAGCAATGTGCCCCCCGTATGGGGCAGTCCACGAGGCACTTACGTCGCTCAGGTTATAGGCATTGACTCTGTGCTGGATAAAGGCAGGGGCATCCGGAGGTATATGACACTTGAATTTTTCANGGGGGGGAGAGAGAGAGAGAGAGAGAGAGAGAGAGAGAGAGAATAAATCATTAAATTCAGAAGAAAAAGATTTACCAAATACAAAACCTCCTTCATTTTTGTGAAATAACTGACAACCGTCACGAGATCGAGCGCTTAGGAAAGTCACTGTGCAGTGCGGAACCTGTGTCCTCAACCCTCGTCAACTGTCATCATGTCCTTCACAGTCACCATGTCCTCCACCACAGCAGGTGACAGAATGAGGTGGCTCTTCGTACACATTCCTCTCTCTCCACGTCTTTCACAATTGGCCCCTTTGGTTCAGACACACTGTCCTGGCGTTCCTGTCCTCGCTGATGCCACTTACTGGAGACGCCTTCATAAGTGTCACCTTGCATATACTGTGTTTACTGATACTGCGGTTGAACTGTCATTTTGGCCATAAAAATATACTGCGGCCATTTTTATTTTTATTTTTTTTTAGGCCAAGACAGGCATGGAGGTTCATACCAAAAGCTCATATAATAAACTTTTCTCTAGGTTTCAGTTTTCTAGAAAGTTAGTAGGCAGAGAGAAGCCTGTATGCTCTCTGGCCTGCGCCTGACTGGATACTCAAAATACATCTACTATGTTGAGTCCCAAACATCTACAAATTATGTAAGAGAAAGAGGCACAGAAAAATTAACTCATTTGAATACCTTGTCACAAGAAGCTGGGTTGTGAATCCAGTTTTAGAAGTTGTGTTCCCTTCAATAATTTAAGTTCTACCTGTGTCTTAATTCTACACTAAGAGTTGTCTACTCAAAAAGCTTCAGCCCATCCAGATAGAAAAATATTTCAAATGATTATAACTATACAACCATATACTAAAATGTAATGGTCTCCTAATCAATGTAATCAAATAAGAAGCTGGATTTTATCAGCTGAGAAGGTAGAGGTAGAGTATTACTCCCAGCGTGAACAAAGCTTGAATGGAATACATTGAATTTCTGCATAAATTTATGAAATGCCTCCCCACTCCCACAACTGCTTCCCCCAAGATGGGTACTTAGCAGGACTTACGTCACTCAGCTGTTTGGAATTGACCTGGGCTTGCAACAGAACAGGAGAGTCCGTAACTTGAGTGAACTTGGTCTTATCTGGGTGGGCTTTGTAGGTGTGCTGGAAGGGAACAAAGTTGTTTGGTTTAGTGGGGTCTACGACGTCCAAGGTGGTCTCTGAGCCAGGAAAGAACCTGTCCCACCCCACCCTGAAGAAACTGTTGGCTAAGCCGGGCTGTGGTGGTGCACTCCTTTAATCTCAGCACTCGGGAGGCAGAGGCAGGCAGATCTCTGTGAGTTTGAGGCCAGCCTGGTCTACAAGAGCTAGTTCCAGGACAGGCTCCAAAACCACAGAGAAACCCTGTCTCTAAAATTAAAAAAAAAAGAAACTGGTGGCTAAACAAACATTCAAGGTGTTTGTTTTTAGCTGGATTGCAGTTTGTCTGAGAGGTGCTCTTCTGTGAATATGAAGACCGACCGCATGTTTTCAGATTCCTGACAGCTCTTCACAGCAATGAGCTAGAATTAGCTCTTGAGACATGGGATGCCAGCAGGAACAGAAGTATATCTTCTACAAAATTGTTTCTTACAGCTGCCTTTCTTATACATATTTGTAAAGCGGTCAACATTTTAAAAGCATCTCAGCCTCTAGATGCCACAAAGGGCAGCAACATCTGGATCAGTGTCCCCGAAGTAGGAAGCATCTGGGCTGAAGGGGGATGAAGGACTTTGTCACAAGCTCACTGTGTGAACGTACATCTTTACACTGGTCCAATTTCTTGATTGCCTCATATTCCTGGGTGATGGTCTGGGGGAAGAAGCCTTTGCCTCTGTCCTCTTCATATTCCGCTCTGTAATTTTTCTATGAGGGAAAATAATCAGATGTAACGATCCAACCATCGTTTTATGCCTTAAACCCACAGCATCTTATTTAGAAAGTGAAAACAATAGCCTTAGGACTTACGTCACTATTTTGGGCTGACACTTTCATACAGTGTGTGTGATATGGGTCCTCGAAGCTGCCTACATAGTGTCCCAAAATATTCTTTAGGTAGGAATCTCTGTACTTAGTCTGAAAGACAAAATGTATTCCATTTGTTAATTGGCCAGTGGCTTATTAAATAAGTGAGCCTTAAAAGAGTGGGTGACAGGGACGATACTTACATCACTACTGAAGTTCTGCAGTACTGTGTCAAGCTGAAACTTGGGGGTCTCGCAGTAATTGATGCTCTTGGCCTTTGTCTTTTCATAGTTTTCCTTGTATAGTTTCTGCCAAAGGGGGGAAAATCAGTTAAAATAGATCCTGTCACTCCCACGCTGATTATAACGCTCATATTTTCCAACACCAGACAAAAGAAAAGATACCGTCTGCCAACTACTTTAGAAACCTACAAACACTCGGTGTCATGGCGTTATTAGCAATGATTGTAAAACCTGAGATTTTGACATTTTTCAGAAACTTAAGAAGCCAACATGCTACCCCTAGCTGAGCCTTGGCTGGCATCTCTGAGCTGCGCTCTCTCTCTCTCTCTCTCTCTCTCTCTCTCTCTCTCTCTCTCTCTCTCTCTCTCTCCACACTTACTCTCTCATTGTGCCCCAAGTACACAGAGGCTATGATAATGGCTTTGTTATTTTTCAAATAAACTTTTATAAAAAGTTAAGTAGAAAAACACAATTAGGCTTCATAACATAAGACCCATCTGAGAATTTGAAGCATGAATGAGTCACCACCAGCTCTCCTTCACTGCTAACATTTATGTTTAGCCTTAAGATAACACAACCAATCAGTGGTTGGTTTCAAGGGCACGGATGAGAAAGTGGACCATGATCACTTTTTCATGTTGAGTTTTCAAAGTGTCAATACATCCCTGCTTCTAGCAACAGTGGATTTGAGATGGTTTGTTTGGTAAACGTGCCCGTCATTGGAAAACAAAGCACTTGGTGTTGAGGTTACAGCAGAGCCACTTGGACAGATGAATTAACACCTTATCCCTTGCCCTCCTGCTCCCCAGACACATGCACCCCAGTATGCTGACGTAGTTCAAGGGTAGAGAAGCATTAACCTATCCAGGGAGCTATGTAAAATCTTTGAATCTTGGAAAAAATTTTCATATTAATCTGTCCATATAAAACCTCAATTTAGCCTGTGTATGTTTGTTGTGTATTTTGTGTGTGTTTCTTGTACATGTGTGCACTTCAGGTGTGTGCTTGTGTGTGTATGTGTGTGTGTGTGTATACATGTCAGTGTGTGTGTTTTAGTCAAATTGGTAAACTGATCTTGGACCCTTAGTTTTCTAATACCAAGCACTGGCTTATTTTATCTATTTCAACCCCAATAGCTTACTTGGGAGAAGTAGTCAGGGACCATGTCAGGGGACATTTTCTGAGTTAAGTGTCTGCAGGTGACAGTTTCAAGTGTTAGCTCTGTTCTTGAAGGTCTCCCTTTGCCTGTTCAGAAGCCCAGCACAATATGCCCATGCCCAGAAGGAGCCCCAGATGCTGGAGCATCTTCTAAGCAGATAAGGACTTCCCTGCCCTTTGAATTCACTCCACTGGCTACAGATAGTAAGGTATGTTGTGTTTAAGAGACCCTCAGCTTTCTATGGCTAGTCAGCTGTGCTGTGACTCTTCCTTCAGAACCTTAAAACACTAGCAAAGCTATACAGGTACACAGGCATACAGGTACACAGCTATATAGATATAGAGGTATACAGCTATACAGGTATCACACAAGGAGAAAGACTCCATCTCATAAAGTTACGGTTATTACAGATCTGTGAAGAGAGTTGACTTACGTCACTGAGGACGTTTCCTGCTGCCTTCAGCTGCCTGAGCAGTGGGTTCTCTGATGCAGGAAGTACATTATAATCTGCTTTTCCTTTATTCTTCTCATAGTCTTCTTTGTATTTCACCTGTGGGAGGAAATAAAATAATAAAGGAACTCCCCAGGTTATTTTGCCCTAGTCTCCACGATAGCAATGATGACATGGTGCCCCAAATCAATTTCCTCTTTAGAAAAATGGCGGCTTGACATTTTATCACCACAACACCCGGAATAACTCAGAGCAGCAGTACAGAAACAGCATGAGTTTCCAGGAAACCTCTTCTTTTCATTCATTTATTCATTCAAAAATATCAGAGGGAGTTGACTGTGTGCCTGGCTCTGGGAAAGACACAAAAAGGAACAGCATATGGTCTCTGTCCTCGAAAGGAGAAAGGCATGTAAATATTGGGGGGAAGAGAGAAACACACAAATAGTGACAGCACATCGTGCCCCAGATGTCTGCTCTTTAGAGCCTCCACTCCAACTTCCAGCTGCCATCTGCCTGCACATCTGAAAGACAAGGAGCTGGGAGCACCAGCGCCGCCTTGATGCCTTTCCTACAGCCATGCATTGAGCAAGCACATATTTAGTACACAGGCAGGAGAAAAAGGAGCCATGGGATGAATGGTGGCAACCTCAGCTTTCTTTTCCCTTCCCATTTTGTACTTTAAATCCCAACCATGGCAGACGCTGTAAGTTTAAGATGGGGAAATTAAAAAACTCTGAAAAGGAACCTGTCCACAGCGATCGAAACAACATGGTCTTGAGGCAGACCGTGATCTCGAGTCTGCCTTTCGCTTGGGAAGTGGAGCCAATAAAGTCTGAGGAATCCTAAACCATTCACTACTGTTACAAACTGCACAAAATGAGGTCAATCAGTTCCGTAGACAATGACAGATAACGCACAACTGAAACCCAGATGCTCCAACCCTACTGTCTACCCAGAGTATCATAAGGGCTACTCTGCAGGCTCTTCAGGCTGGGAGACCTGCACAACCTTTCTACCTCATGGGATTATAAAGTCCCTGGGAAAACAGAATTGCGCAGAAAGGACATTCACAAACCCCTATCATGCCACCTGCATCTGTCACTAGGGCTTATGACGATGTCATGTCTCCTCTTACAGACCAGATCTCCCCTCCTTCAAGGACTTCAACCCAGCAGTTTGCTCTCAGCACCAGCTCAGGGTTACCTCTCTGTTGGATTTTCCCCATCAGCGTAGCAGCATGGAATTGTGTGTTCTATCTTAAAACATTCCTTATTATTTTCTTTTCCATCAGCTGCCATTAATTTTCATTTTCATTTAAGAAAAATTCTTGAAAGAACGCAATATACTCTGACCTTCAGTGGTTTCTTCTTTATTATTCAGTTGTGAGCCTTCTCCAAGCAAACTCAGCCAACTTATTCTTTGGGCTGCCAGTGACTCTGCACTAGCAAACCCAGGTAGTTTGCACATTGGCACAAATGATAAATCCATCTTCCCCCTTTATTAATTGTGCACACTCCTGCTACCTCTCAACCGTGCTCCTGTCTCAGCTGGGAGCATGTCAGGGTTCAGTCGGTGGAGCTGTGATGTAGGTGAATCTTCTGTTTCTTTCATTTGTTAATTAATAAAGAAAACTGCTTGGCCTGATAAATCAGAACATAGTAGGCGAGGAAGACAGAACAGAATGCTGGGAAGAAGGCAGTGAGGCAACCGCCATGGAGCTCTGGCCCAAGATGGACATAGTTTAGAATCTTCCCGGTAAGCCACCACTTCGTGGTGCTACACAGATTATTAGAAATGGGTTAATCAAGTTGTGAGAATTAGCTAATGAGAGGCTGGAACTAATGGGCCAGGCAGTGTTTAAATGAATACAATTTGTGTGTTGTTATTTCGGGCGTAAAGCTAGCCGTGTGGAAGCCAGGCGGGATGAAAAGCAGGCCTGCTCGCCTCATCACTACAGGGCTGTCTGCCCATCCTATCTCCTTTGTGCTGTCCAGTCTCAGGACATTATTTTCCACACACTAATGTCCCCCAATTTTTATATAAAATTCCCGTAAACATTCTTTGAACCTCCAGACTCATGCAGTCAACCAACCAACTTCATACTTCCACCTGAGAATCTAAAAGACATCTGAATCTAACAGGTTTGAAGATGAACTCCGGTTTCACTAAGAATCACCTCCTCTTCCTGTAAATCATCCCTGTATCCTTCAGGAGAAACCCCATCCAGTGAGCTGCTTAGGTGGAAATCGTTCCCTTCTATCTCACACCCAGCCACTGTCTCACACTTTCTAGGTGGTGGAGTCCTGCTTTCTAACCTCTGGCAGAACCAGGGCTCCAGGAAAGGCAAGGATCAAACCAGTTTACTTGACCTCAAAGTTCATGTTTTTATAAAAACCATACCACTTTAAAATGTCAAAGCATAACCTACATATCAAAGTCACTCTACAGGCTATCTGAAGATGTCCATGGACTTTTGGGACATAGTCTTTTGGGACTAGGTTTTTCGCCCGTCAGTCAGAACACAGGCTGGTGACAGTGTTGAGCATGAGGCACATGGTTTCATATAAAGCTGCCAATCATTAGTTTTTTCTGATAGAAGTTCTGCTACCTGAGATGATTACCTTCATCCTTCGGGCCAGCAAAAGGCCCTTCACTCCGTGAAATAATAAAAATGGTGATTAGGCGCCATTAAGGCTTCTAATTGTGATGCCAATATAATTTTCTGTTTTACTGCTTTTAGGCAATCTATTTTACACTGGTCTCAACTTCAGTAACTTCGCTCAGAATCTACCCGGCATCTTTTTTATTATATTCAAGAGCCGGAATGAGGGCAAGCTCACCCCACTAAAGACATTAAGGGATGGGAAAACGTCTTCATTTATACCTTGCTGGCTGCAATTCCAGCCTGCTTGTTCATTTTGTACTCAGGCGTTTCCGTCTGCATGAAGTAGATCTGGTCTTTCAAGTTCTCGAAGTCTTCCTGATACTTCCTCTGTGAGAGTAAAGACACGGGAGAACAGCTGTAGAGACAAGCTTCAGGACAGAGCCCCTCAAGTCTACCCCCACCCCTTGGGTTTAGGCCAGTCAGGTCACAACTGGAGACCGGTGGCATCGCCAAAATGTCTTATCAGCTTAACAGAGATCTGGACAATTCGAACAGGCTTGGAGAACAATGGGAAAGGCACAGTCTTTCCAGCCCACTGAGGGAAAGCTCTGGAGAGCCAGGGCAGATGAATGAAAGAAATTAAGTCACTCAATGTTATAAATGCACAATTTTGTCCAGCAGGGAAGAATAAACTGCAAAGAGCCTTTCTGACTCATGCGAAGTGTATTCTGTCATTACTAAGAGGGTTTCACTAGGTTGTTCCTATGGAAATTGAGGTAGAAATCATGCAACATGGTCAAAATAATATTTAGCATTCCAGAATTCCTCGAGCTGTTGCTAGCAGCTAGAAGCTGTCAAAGACAGGGGTCCTCTCCCAGGACATCTGGCTCTCACTCCCTACTTACTGTGCTGAGATTGTCGGCGTTCATTCTGGCTGTTGCAATTTCAAAGCAGGGCGTCTCACTCCATTTGCCTTTGACTTTCTTTTCATAGTCTTCTTTATATTTTTGCTGGGGGCAGGAAGAAAAGAAATGAAGCAAAGACAAAATCCAAGAGTTGACAAATAGGAATTGAGGAATAGTGTGACATTAAATATCTTTACCAGGCTCATGCTAGAGTCTCCAAGTAATCTTGCAGAGTGGTCACCTTACACATCAAGAAAGTTGACTTGAGGGGAACAGAGAAAGTCAAGGAGAGGACTCTCTTTGCTGACTTTAGGGACATAGAATTGAACCCCACATGTGGTGTGTGGAAGTTATCTCATAACTGAACCCAGGTATACTGTTGTGAACTTCCTTGACCCATGTATTCTTAGAACAGAATTAACCTAGTCAACCCCGTATCTGGGCCCATGAGGCAAAGCTAGAGCAGGGTTAGAGCAATTCTCCTCCTTGGCTCATAGAGCTACGCTAAAGACATCATTGCCGACTCTCAGGTGGCCTGTATCACCTATACCTCCCACCATATTCTTCATAGAAATATAAAGCCCTTCTTTGTCATACCATCAGCACAAGCTCTAATGTAAAGAACCAATGTGTCAGAGTAAAAGGAAGTACAGTTTTCCCGTAAATGTCCTATTTTCCGTCTTTGCAATGGTTAATATGCCAATTATTAGCAGCAATTTTTATACCTGTTCATTTTAGACCTCCAGATCTTTAGTGCCTATGACTGAACACTGTCATTACCAAAGATTTGACTTAGCACGCCAGCAATTCAAGTTTCTCAACCGAAAGGATGCAGGATTTTTACACAGAACACTGCTAGCAAGATGAAGCAAGATCACACGCTTTGTGTATCTATGACAGTAAACAGATGAATGGTATAATAATTATAATAATGGCAATACTGAAGAAAAACTATGTGAAATGAAAGAGAGAGACAGAGACAGACAGAATGAGAAAATGAGTCCTGCTAAAACTCCGATTTGCCTTGTATACTGGGGAGGCAGATGCAGGAGAATCTTGAGATAAAACCAGGCTACATGGAAAGATCCTACCTTAACAAAACAGAGCAATAAAATATGGACTACTGATTTAGCTATCTTCCTGTGGTGGTTTGAATGAAAATGGCCCCTGTAGGCTCATAGGGAGTGGCACTATTATGAGGGTGGCCTTGATGGAGAAAGTGTGTCAACTGCAGGTGAGTTTTGAGGTTTTGGATGCTCAAGCCAGGTCCAGTGTCCCTCTCTCTTCCTGCTGCCTTCCAATCCAGATGTAGAACTTTCAGCTACCTCTCAAGCACCGTATCTGCCAGCATGTCACCAGGCTTCCCATAATAATGATAACGGACTAAATCACTGGAACTGTAAGCCAACCCCAATTAAATGTTTTCTTTATTAAGAGTTGCCATGGTCGTGGTGTGCCTTCACAGCAACAGAAATCCTAAGTAAGACCAATTACTTGATGTGGGAATAATTCTCTTGTACACTGTAAAGATTTGTCACTCAGACTGGTATGATAAAAAGCTGATTGGCCAATAGATATGAAGAAAGTATAGGCAGAGCAACCAAACTAAGGATGCTGGTATGAAGAAGGGTGATGTCAGAGGAGGTGCCGGCAGACACAGAGAGAGCAAGATGGGCATGCCATACTGAGAAAAAGTATCAAGCCACCTGACAAAGCATAGACAAGAAATATAGGTTAATTTAAGTGTATGCGTTAGCTAGTAACAAGCCTGAGCTATCGGTTGAGCATGATATAATTAATATTTAGTCTCTGTGTCTGTTAGTTGGGAGTGGCTTGCAGGACAGAAACTTTGGTCTACACTTGGGGACTTGCCAAGACTGTAGAAGTACATCTAATCTTTTTGGGATTAGGCTTCTTAGGAGTCTGATAAATAAATAAAGTACCCATAAATGTTAAAACTTCAGAAGTTCAGTTTGGACATGGTGGCAGATAATCTGTAAACAAGCACTTTGGAAGTGTGAGGCAAGGGAACCTTGCTAAAAACCAGCCTGGATTTCACAGTAAGACTCTAAAGTCTCAAAAAACCAGAACCAAACCAAATAAAACAGTGAAAATATCCAAAAAATCAAAAGCAAAGAACAAAACAGGACTTTGGAAGTCATCTCAGCTTTTATCCTCAAGCATTTAAGTTGTTGTCATGGGGTTCTGGGTCTCCATGCAGAAAACCCCAGGAAGCTCAAGACTTCGGGCAAAGGAATCAAACCTGGTGCCATTGGAAAGTCAAGACACAGAGATCTTTGTAGGATCAAGCTGAAAAGCAGCAGATGCTCGTACTGGTCAACCCTTGGGTTATAACCGAGAAATAGGTACTGTGTGTATGGCTTGACTAATGAGAACCGAGAAAGGGTGCAATTCTCACAACAAAGATAGACACGGGATTTTAAGAAGATAGTTAAACAAGAAGAGCAGAATACAGAATCATCCAGATGCCTCCTTCAAAGTCCCTCCTCCCTTCTCACCCTCCAGGAAGAAAAACCTGCTATTTCCTCCTGCAACAGGTCTGGCTGGGGATCGATCACTCACAGTCTGTTCCCAAGTCCTCCTGTGTTGGTCAGGGCTCCCAGTGCATAGGAGTGGAGGTGGCTGGCTAACTTCGCAGGAGGGTGCCCTTGTTCCCCTTTATGGGCAGGTAGCAAGGAGGTCAAAGGAACAGACTTCTAACACGAGTGGAGGAAAACGCAGGCAGTGTCCATGCACAAAGACATATCAAAAGCCCAACATCCAACTTCCTGTCTGATCCTAAAGCTTTCTCCTTAAACTCCTCCCCCTGCTCTGCTGCAGCTGATCAATGATAGCCTGGAGGAAAGATGTGATTTAACTTTCCCTGCGACTTTCATTTAACAGAGAAAGAACACTGGGTCAGTTCTGAGCTCTGAATAGACTCTGTTGGGGGAGGTGACCACATGCTAGCAGGCACAGCCGTTGCTTCTCTAAACCATAGCCCCTCCTAACCACCAGTCGGTCCAGGGAACTGGGCTACAAATTAGGCTCCCTGGTGTCTTGTTTAAACTCATGGCTTCACTTTCCAGATCGGCACCTGCAGTTTTTATGTGGTTATCAAATGGAAAGAACATGAATTGAGTTAATCACATCTCTTCTGCAAAAGGTACAGAGAAACAAAAGGGACTTCCCAATGTTGTGTGCAGAATCCACTTCCCGGTCATGGTGAGTCTGTTCCCTCTCCTGGAATATCTGTTATGAGAATAATTCTCCTGCTCCACCTCAGTTAGAACCACAAAGCACACCTGAGCCTGGAAAGGGTGCTGGCATGAAGCTCAGGATTTTGGCAAAGACAAAGGCAAGAAAATACACTCTGAAAAGGATAGCAAGGAAGGCTTAGAAAGAGAATGTAATGTCAATACAACCATAGCCAGCATGTGATCTTTACCAGCCGAACAGGAGGCTGCAGGACAAGCAATGGACATGGAATATATGGTTGGCAAGGGTGGCTGGGTCAAGGGTTTAAATGTCTGAAAGTGAGACAGTGGAGGAGACATTTTTTTAACCTCTTTGTGGGGGAAAAGAGGATGCAGTGATACTGACATGGGGATCCAAGCAGCTTGACAGTGGGGACGACTCGAGGAAGGGAGCACCACAGAGAAGTCACCATTGGCAACCTAGACCTCTTGGGTTGGATGTCTGGTCACTGGATGGACAGCTACAATGAACAATACTTCTCTCTAGACAGGCTGGAATTTTGATGCACAGTAGATACTGAGAACTTGGAATCCGAGTAAAACTAAGATAAATCATGTCACCATGGCCAAATCCAGTGACCTTCATCTACAGCCGCTCTCCCTCAGCTCTTATTATTCTACAAGGTCAACCCCGGGTTGGCAGCTTTTTCCACACACCCAACAGTGTGTCACCCAATCCAACCAGAGTGTGCAGTCCCAAATACCTATTATGAAAGCTATCCCAGAAGCCATATTTCTTAAGGCGCAAAGAGACAGGTGGGAAGCTAATTTTAATATATTTTACTTAACTCAGCAGACCCAAAACACTATCATTCTAACGTGCAATTGGCATAAAAATGATTTTACATTCTTTTTAATTTCATAGTAAGCATTTAAAATCCAGTATACACTTCTGGTGTGGAAGACTCTCGGGGTTAGGGAAATGAATACATGGATGTCCCCTTCCAATTCATATGCTGGATCCTCAGCTCCTAAGGGGATGGCCCTTTCTGTTGACTTTCCCTTTTCTGAAACTTTGAGTCCGCTATTTAAGATTCTCTGCATATGATTTTCTATTGCAAGTCCAAATATACTAATAGTCTCTTTTTTTCCCCCGAGTCACATTTGAAGTACTCGGTTGTCAGGTTTGTGTAAAGTCTGCCACACTGAGAAACATGACTTGAGTTTTATTTGTTAGCCGAAAGTGTTGGGAGGGGCGACTACAGAAAAGTTTGATAATCACTTTCTCCACACCACATGCTCAGATTAAAGAGCTCTATCTGAACCGAGACATTCTTTAAATAAAAATAAAAAAAAGATTAATTTTAAATGACCGCTTAAACTTAACTTCTTTTCCCAGAGTTAAACTATCTTTCTGTTCCATCTTTTTTTTTTCTGCTATGAACACACCCAGCTGCCAGTCCATTATGCACAATCCTCTACTTAGTCTCTGCTTATCCTTGGGGGAAAAGTAGGTTGCTAGGATTCTCATTACTTTTACTATTCTTACCCTGAGTTTTACAGTAAGCATTCTGCGAGATGAGTAGCTAAAAATACCGCAGAACAGACTGCATCATTTATATCTTTTCTTTCTCCTCCTCTATTAAGAGCCCACATCTACCCAAATCAACCAAACAACAAAAATAAGAACCCTGAAGTTTAGCAAAAACCAGAAAGCAGAAAAAAAAAAAAAAGCAGAAGACCAAACTGAGTGTCAACTTTCAGAAGGGGGGGAAAAAGCAGCCAGGTCCCAGAGAACGCATCCTTACTGGACCAATTTGCCACAGGACTTAGCCCGGCCTATATACCAGGCGAACACTTGTCTCTCCGCATTCCTTGCCACAGCTGCGTCCTCCTGGACTACTCTGTTTGGCTAAATATAGGCTAAATAAGCAGCTTGCTAGGGCTTCAGCTCTCTGAAGTGCTGGCCCCACCAGTGCCCACTGAGCTGTGCCCGAGAGCACACTCGCACAGTCTCGGGAGTTCCCATCTCAGAGTGTGAGGGCAGAAACGGCACAGTGTCTCTCCCCGCTGCACGAGTTAAACCACAGCCTCCACAGAAGGAAGTAGAGTTAGGCCGTGACCTACGATTCTGTCTCAGAAATTAAAATGTCAAGTGGCAGTAAGTCGTACGCTGTCTTATCAAGAGCTGACTGTGACATTTAAACTCACCGAGTCATCGAGTTGGCTGACCACTGACATCACTGATGCTGGTGGTGCATGTCCTGTTTTTGATGTAAAAGACTTTGGGGGTGAGGCACACGCAAAAGTACCTCTAGTGCTTGCCATTCTTCAAGCTCACCATTGGTTTCTCTCCCGAATGGCTGAAAAAAGCTGAGTAGGTTTCCAAGAGAGACAGGATCACCTCTAAGTGCGTACCTTGCTTACTTGGTTGGTTACTTTCTTGGCAAATTCTACATCAGGAGGATCAGGAAGGGACGTGAACTGAGTTTGCTGTTCAGTGAGTCCTTTTTTGTAGGCAATCTGTTAGAAATAAAAGGCAGGGATGTCCATCAGCGTTTGAAAAGGAACCCTCCTTTTCATGTTCTCTGCATTTGTTGGCATTTTATTTTTTTTTTATTTTTTATTTTTTATTTTTCGAGACAGGGTTTGGTGCCTGTCCCGGAACTAGCTCTTATAGACCAGGCTGGCCTCGAACTCCCAGAGATCCGCCTGCCTCTGCCTCCCGAGTGCTGGGATTAAAGGCGTGCGCCACCACCGCCCAGCTTTGTTGGCATTTTTAAACAAGACCAATGTCTGTTAATTGTCGTGCACCATCTAGCCATGACTGGTTTGCATGCCCTGCCTCTCAGGACTGCCATTCACTTCTTTTTCTGTGGGTCTTCTCTCCTCTCAAGGATTCTTGGTCCTAGACCTGTTTCTTTGCATCTGTCTTAGTGCCATCCTTGGTAAGGGCAAGTTTTCTTTTCATTGGCATCCTCAACTCTTAACCACATGCCAACTTAACAGCCTCCATTTCTGGACCACACACACACACACACACACACACATATTATTTCTTTTGCCCAGGATGCTGACTGGTACAGAGGAAAATTACACACAATTATTGATGGGACAGTGCTAACATTGTCAGTGGGGTTAAGAAGGACATATGAGCAAAGTTTATGGGAGTAAATCTTCAAGCCACAACACCTAGCTTGAACCCTATAGGTCATCTGCCCAGTTTTCTTCTCGGTGAACTGTGACTTGCTTAGGGCTGTGTGTCTAACATTCTATGACTTTATGATGTACAATCACCACTCTGTCTTCAGTGAAATTTGAATATCTCATGACGTGTCCAGATTCCTGGAAGCAGGTCTCAACTCCAGCCCTTCCGTAGGTCCTCCGTAAACTCTATGCTACTCTGATTTTCTCTTTTGTAGAGAAAGGAGAAGGCTTTACAGTTCAAGCTTATCTCTGTCCCTGTGGTTCTGACCCCGAGGACAAGCAGCTCTCACAGGGCATGGCTCCTGCACTCTCTGCCGTTCCCTCACTTGCCTTTTGTACCAAGCTCCATCCATTGTCGCTACTATGCGTCACAGCTTCAACCTCTTCCCCCTTTATACCTCCTTCCTTCCCAGCCCATAAAAGCTTCTATCATCTTAAAAGTCTGGTATGCATGAATCATGGACCGCTTCATCCCTTCTCTCCTTTCTCCCGGTCTTCCTGAATCTTCTAACTAGAGGGAGGGGTCAGTCACTGACTCCAGCAGAAGTCCCAACTCATCTGTCACAAAATATCTCTCATTCAACATGACGGCATTTTTATTTATAATAAAAAGGAATTCTTCAAGACCACAATCATGTTATACTTAACTAGGCCTAAGTATGTCTTTTAATAACATTGACCTAGTATCTGTAACAAAAGCTTTCACGAAAAATCAAATTAACTGGGATATAAAAGTTTTTTTTTAAAATCACACAATATATATGAATTCCCATGTTTAATTTAAGTTCATGAAAGCCTTATTTTAGCCAAAGGGCAGGTGGAATTTTCCATGACTTAGGGAAAGTCCTTAGGGAGAAAGCTGTATTCAAATAGAAGAAACACTTAGTAAGAATGACAGCCTGTCAAAAACTGTCTGAGAAATCATATCACCAAGTTCTCATATTTCAGGACCCATGCTCAGAGTTCTGTCTACTTAGAATTCTGCACTCCCGATCAGTCTAAAGATATTCTTAGTCTTTAAAACTGTTTTCTCTGTCAAATAGAGAAAAAAATGCTTGTCAACTTCACTACACACTTGGAGGCATTTAAAGATTAAAGAAATTAATTTTTTGTCTAAAAAAAAACTGTTTTCTCTGTATTTAGATAACAGGAAAACATAGTAAATCGTAGTGAGAGAGACGCAGGAATAAGGTACAGAGAAAATGAGTGACTGTAACCTAAGCCCCTGGCTTGAAGGCTATGTGCCCACACAGTGATATGCTCCATGGACAACAGCTTGCTCTGGTGTCTGAGCTAGGGACTGTAAAACTCATGTTGCTAACAATAGTATTAATAGCCGCACTAGTAATGTGATACTTGGTGCATACTTGGTCAGCAACAAAAATAAAAGCTATGTCCCAACTGCCAAGCATTGCGGAGTTAAGAGTGGAGATTTTACTTCATTGTTGTGAGTTTTTTCCTGTGTGTATCCTGTGTGTATTTCTACAATGTCTTAAAGGCAATTCTTAATTGACTTAAAGACAACTGTCTTAAAGACAATTCTTAATCTTTATTTCACGGGTAAAGGAAGGTGTTCAGAGAGCATCTTCTTGGACACCTCTCCCTAGGCCTATATGACATGGCATTTCCAGACTCCCCTTCAGCTTCTCTGTGCCCTCATCTTGTGCTGGCTTCTTCCAGGTGTCCTGAATGTCATCCAGGACTCTGACCTTGACCATATTCTCTTCCACACTTCTGTCATTTCTTGTCTTCAGCTATCACAATTATTCTGATGACTTTTAAACAATAAGTGCTTATCCTGATCTCGCCACCATGAGGATCTCACACCCTCAATCTTTACTTTATCCATGGAATGTTCTGGTCCAAATGCTTTCCCTATTATTTCAAGCCCGTTTCTTTCTCCACAATACCTAGCTGTTTGAGCCCCCAGACCACCTGTGTGTGGTAATAAACCCCATCCCTCCATTCTCTCCTTTGTCTCCAGTATCCAGTGTCGCCAACACTTACTGTTACTATCATGGAAACTCCTTTCTTTTCCTTTGCTCCTTTCTCCACTGCTAAGTCAGACACTGCGAGTACTCACAATTTCTAACGTTTCCTGGATCCAATCCATCGTCCTGAGTTTCTCCAGATTCTACCTTTGTCCCACTGTTTTCCTCATTTGCATCTTGTGCTGACTTGTTGCCCAAACTCTTATGTCATGCTGGTTCTTAAGGTCCTGCCCTGGCTATTTAATAAGCACCCTGCCATTGAGGCCCCCACTGTCCTTGTTCATTAGCACCCCAGACTCATGTCACTTTTTCCTCTTGATCAGAGAGGTTGTGTACCCAAAATGCGCTTTTTTCGTCATTACCCAGCTCTCTGTCATTTCTTATATGTGTGCTTCCTCACAGCAATGACTAGGTCATTCTGGTCCCTTTCTATCTTTGTTTGACATATGATGCTTTCTTTCATCCTGCCGGCATGATAATGGACTTTCAAGGGAAAAGATGAAACTTTCATAGCCTGCTAGATATTCATACACAGCCAACTTCCAATAAATATTTATGACTTAGCCTCTTCTCAAGGGACCACCAAGAGGCTCTCTCAGGTTTCCAGAGTCCCCAAGGGGAGGAGAGAAACATCCCGTTCAGACTTGACTCGGATGGTGGGACAGAGCTAAATAACACCACAGGACAGCATTTGCTTAGTAAATTTGCAAAGGGAGGGATGTGATCCCAATGGCTGTTGTGCTTTTATTTTTTTATTTTTTATTTTTTTGTAAAAAATGCCACTCTAGTGGCACAACACAACTTTAGCAGAGCCAAGAGGGAAAATGACACATGGTTTGGTGGGAAGAACGTTAGTCCTGGGATTTAAGTCCAGATTCTGCCACTACCGATGGGAATGTAGGTTTCTCACATAAAGGAATCGGGCTAAATTATGTCTAATATAATGTGCTAATATAAACACATATATAATAAGTTTTGGTTCTGAATGAAGTCCTCTGTAATAATACTGGATACTGGATCTTTTTTCAAGGACCTATGGACCTGGCCCTGGCTTTCCCCGACTCTAACATTCAGATGGTACCAAGTGTGTATCACTTACGTCACTGAGCGCCTTCTGGGCCTGGGCGACCCGCCTCAGTTCCGGACTGTCATTATAGGGATAAAACAACCCTTTGTCTGCTTCCCAGTCTTCAGTGTACAGTTTCTAAATCAGAAAAGGGTAAAAAAAAAAAGTGAAAAAACAAACTATACTCACAGAAAATACATAATTCTAAGCTTTTATGGTGATATAAGGCACCGAGGACAAGGTGCGAACCACCGTCAATGACATTCCTAAACAGCTTCCCCCTTTCCATCCAATTTATGCTATTTTTGTTAGTAGCTTGTTTTACTTCTGAAAAAAAAATCTTAGTTTTAGACATTGTCTTCTGTCTGTGACTTTACCTGTCTTCTACCTAAGGAACAGAAAATATTTCCCCAACTTCTGTCATAAAACAAACTTCTAATTAGAGTGACAGCCGGGGGCATCCAAAGCATGACTGACTTTTTTTTGTTAAAGATTTATTTATTTATTATATATACAACATTCCTTCCATGTATGTTTACATGCCAGAAGAGGGCACCAGATCTCATTATAGATGGCTGTGAGCCACCATGTGGTTGCTGGGAATTGAACTCAGGACCTCTGGAAGAGCAGTCAAGTGCTCTTAACCTCTGAGCCACCTCTCCAGCCCTGACTTTTTTTTTTTTAAATGATGCTTTATCAATTTCCTCATCAGTTCTCTGGTGTCTTAATTCTCTCCATGTTAGCTCCCACCCACGGGGTTGCTCCAATTCTCCAGGTACTTTCAGCCAGTCTGCCCAAGAGTCCCCCTCAACAGAACCCGAGGGTCCTCCCTGCCAAGTTCTAGCCCTGTACAAGCCCCAAGGCTATTCCCCCAAACACCGAGAAACTGTCCCAAGTTGTCAAGAGTTCAGCAGTGCGGCTCGAAGTGTGCGGTTGGACATTGGAAAGAGCTAGACCTCACCTTACTGAACATGGCTGTGTTCTTAATGGCTTGGACAAGTTCAGGGGCATCAGGGGGAAGCAGGTACTTATCCTTGGTGTCTTCCCAGTTCTGCTTGTATAAAACCTGGAGAGAAAAACAGATGGACCTTGGCTTGACCTGTCACCCCAGGTGAAACAGTCAAGGCGTGGCCTCACACAAAAGCTGCTGAAGGCTACCAGGAAAATGCTGACCACGCCAACATGCCAGGACACCTTGTCAGCATTAGGAAGCTTTCGCAACAAACCAACCAACCAACAAAAACAACAAGACAAAAAACCCAAGAAACTTAAATTTAAAAAAATACTTTAGGATTCTGATTTTCAATTGATTTCTTTCAAAGGTTGCAATCAGTCAATGAATTAAATTTTCTTTTGTCTTACATGACTTCTATTAATTAGCTGCCCACATGTGAAATTTGGAATTTTTTTCATAAAAATTTCATATTCTAAATTCCTTAAAAAATAAGACATCAGGACTGCACAACTTTGTAGTTCCGTCCCCCGCACCCCACCACCACCGCTATTCGGGTAGCAAATGTCTCTTCAGGCAGATTAAGAGATATTCACTCCACTCCAGCCATCTATAAGCCGTTTCAGTCCTCTATGAGTGACAGTATGGCCGTCAATCCACCTCTAAGACACAATAAAGCGGGCTGCGCGAGCTGTTGAACACCCCAGCGCCGCCCACAACGTGGCCTCACCTTGCTGACTTGCTGCGACACTTTCTTTGCATGTTCAATGTCTTTTGCTTTTTCATCCACGTGACAGATAGTTTTTGCAACATCTCCATCCATTCGATACTTAACCTGCAGAAATGATACACTTATGAAGTTCCTGACATTCGTGGACACAGTATCTAAGCCTGTTGTAACCCAATGGCTGTATTTCCGCATCTCAAGGCACTTTAGCTAGGAGGATCCACAGGGCACCTGTGTGGACTACTTGTCTGCGCTGCTGGCTGAATTTTCAGCCTGAGGCTTCTCCGCCTTGCTGTACTCTATATGTGGAGGACCTCCATGAGTCGGAACACAAAAAAATAGTCCCCTATTTGATTGTTAAGCCGATCTTTTCGAAGTCTCTCTGGGTTCATTTGCATCAAATACGGTTCATGATTAACACCGTCTCTAGAAGTCTGGACTTGCTCAGAGTAATCTGACTCCTCATTCCCATGATGCTTAGTGCCACAGGACTCCAGAGCTAGGCATACTTCCACAATACCTCCCCCTCTTCTACGTTAGGGATGCGGCCTACCTCACTGAGTTGATCCTGTACTTTCTTGATTCTGCGAAGTTCTGGAGTATCGCTTGTGATAGCATATGGCTGTCCCTTTGCTTTCTCATAGTTCTCTTTGTATTTATTCTGAAAAGGATAACAGATATTAGTCTGGAACGTGACCAGACAACAGCAGAGAGTTCAGGCAGCACACACATTTCCCCATCTGATTTTTCCTTAAATCCTCCAAATCCTCACAATTATCAGTTGTGCCATCTTTCATTCTACTCCACATCCTTTCAGCAAAACCTAAAATAGATCTGTTAATTGACCCCCCCTAAACATGCCAGGAGCCTGAAGACTTGTTACAGACAATTGTCTTGGATATGCCCTAAAATAATTCTCTTGTGTTTTTTTTTTTTTTGGTTGCACACATAAACAAAAGCCTGGCTATCAATTATTCTAGAAAATGAGTTAATTCTGAAAAGATTTAATTGCTAATACAATGCAAAACTACTCAGCTCAGAAGCTGCGTGCAGCTGCGCTGCAGTGGTTACCCAGCTGCGATGCCAGCTGAATTACTGGGAAGCCTGAACTCGAATATTTCACGATGGAATGCAAATTTATCACCTCTGCCAGCTATACCACGGATCCTTGCTTTGGTAATAATCTGCATCTTTTGTAATTATCAGGGCCTGAAAGAGTATTCGTGAGTAATCAACAATTGGAATTACACTGCTGATTCAGACACTAACCACTGGCAAACTGGGGGAGGGGGGGCTTGCCAACAGTCCACTCAGAATATCATAAATTCTAGGTTCATAATGTCTGAATTAATGAGATTAAATGGCCATAAATTAATGAGGTAATTCTGCCTTTACTGAACGCTATAGCCAGGAGGCAAGAAAGTCTTGTTTAGAATCCTACATGTGAGATCATTCGAGGATTCGAATGAGAAATTTACTCCACAGTCTCCATGGAAACTGACGACTCAGATCCACCGAAACAGATGCGTCTCTCTGGCAGTCGCCGTTAAGTCCCATTGTCGTGGACCGTAAGGGACAGAGAACACTGACTCTTCAGTCATTCTCTGGCTGGGGTGCCTGTGGGAACACCTGGGCAGCTTTAAAAACTCCTCTTGCACAGGCCCAAGGCCTTGGATCACTAAACAAAAGTGCCGTGAGTACTAGAGTAGGTAAAAATATTAAAGGAGATTCCACGGTACAGTGGCCCTGGGCTACCCTCAATCAAACACTGTTGCCCGGTTTCAGATGAGTTTAGTCTGAGCTCGGTCTTCTGAATTACAAGTTTTTCACCCATCACCACGTAGGAAATCTTTTGTACAGCTGGCAGCTATAAGAGACCGTTCCCCTCAGGCACAGTCTAACTATATGACTTAGCATCTATGAACAGACTTTCAATAAATAAATAAGTAAAATATTTATGTTTGTGGTTTCATTGCTCTGGATGGGCTATGCAGCAAGTATTGTATAATCAATCAGGCTCCCGTATATCTTCCAGTAATGAGGATTTGTCTCAATGCTGCTATGGCATGGGTGAATGAATTCCACAAGTCACACACAAAAGACACACTTTGACAAACTAGTTGTGTTTCCTACAGGGCCGAAAAACAAAATCAGCCAGCATCTCAGAGCTGGTTAAAATCAGTAACTTCCCCATCACATAACCAGCATAGGAGGTGGCGCTCAATACTTACGGAGCTGAAAAGATCCTGCATTTTCTGACTGTGTTCAATGTAGGGGGTCATGAACTTGGAAGAGTCCACCTTCTTTCGGATGACCTTCTTCCGCTCCATCGGTTTTGCTGGTTGCGGCTGCACCAGCGCTGGGGTGGAAGGCTCCGACTGACCATAGTCAGATGTCCTGGTTGTCGTAGTTTCATAGACTTCTGTGATTGTCTGAAAATGAAACACGGATATGAAGTAAACACCAATACCATGACCTTGGTGTATACTGCTCCAATGTCAATCACATCGACCTTCCTTGGTGTTGTTTTTCCAGTCACAAAGCCAGCCAAAGCATGAAGCTGCACACAATGTCCATACATCCATTCGAAGACATTTAACACACGTCAGCCTGGATAGATTGTGACATCATCTGTAAACTGTATTTCCAGAGAGCTAGTCAAATACCTCAGGACTGCATAAAAATTACAAATAAAATCATCTTAATCATGTCTTCTTAAGTGAGTTTGGCTGTACCTCTACAGTAGACCCACTTGCTTAGCATGTACAAGGCCCTATGTTCCACCACCAGCACCGTTAAAATAAAACAAAATAGGAATCTTTTCAAGTTGTCTAGATCAAGAAAAAGCAAATGTGACTGAGTAATGAAATATTAAAAATAATGCTTGAATTCTTGATATTCTTTTAAGTAAATAAGAGTAGTTGCATTTTCTATAGCATTAGTCATTCTGTATAGTTTTGAGACAAAAAAATTAATCATATCAGTATTGTAAGTATTAGTCTTTTGGATTAGCTCACTACTGTGAATTAGATTTCCCTTCACACTGGCGGACCAATGGTGACAACATATTGGACAATTGTCTGCTCCACAGTCTTGTCTGTGCAATAGGTAGGAAACCATTAATTCTTACAGCAGGCTATTATGGAAAAACTATGATTCAATGTTTGTACTCCAAGGATAGAAATATGGCAGGTATACAAGGAAAGAGGACAAGCAGCAGAGGTTCCCATGCCCTGTGTAAGATCATGTCTTTCAAGGCAAAGATCCCCGGTCCCCACGGCAGAATTCTAGCATCAGTGTGGGGAAGAGAAACCGGCTAAGGCAACTGTAAACTTGACAAGTCCCACTGTAACTGACGGCACTCCGCCTCTTATTTCAAAAGTGTGACTCACTGTGAGAAACCAATCAAACCACCAATGCTAGTTTTTATCCAGTCCCAGGCTCCTTGAGCAAGCTGCAGAGTTTGCCACTTTTACCAATATTTGTCAGACTCAATGAGAAACAGCTCTTCACTGATAATAAAGCATGTGGCTGGGGGATTCCCAAATTGGAATTGTTACAAAACTGCCTTCTCTTGAGATTCCTAAAGTGGCATGTCACTGTTATGGGGGACAATGCCTCGGGAGCAGCACCCAAAGTGGCAGTGACCTTACCCTACAAGCTACAACTCCATGCAATTCAACTGCTAGACTGTGCCAATCAGAAGTCCAAGGCATCCTCCTGTGGCAGTCAAGGAGGGAGGCAGCCACTGATGTGCCCTTCATTCGCACTATCTATACAAAATTGCTGCGTGAGCAGCAGCAAACCATTCCTTGCCCTCTTGCATAAAGCAGAGCATAAAGACTGTGAGTTAGCCTGCCAAATGCATGGTCTGCTCTTTTACCACCAGCTTCTAGGCACAGGCAGGCAAGTGAGCTTCCTAAGTGAGTTTCCCTTTCTCCATCTTTCTGGCTCCCAGAGTAGGAGGGGAAAAAGAGGCTCTTTTCTAAAGAGAAGCAGAGTCCATGCGCACGTGGGCCAAGTCTTACCTCACCCGGCACCTCCTCGTAAACTGTCTCCTCCGTGTAGTACTGTAGACAGAGCACAGGGTAGGAGGATCAATGTGACAAGCAGAGCAGCCCACAGTCAGCCCTCCCCTGCCTCTGCTGACCCTAGATTCCCCAGGCTGAGGTGGCATGAAAGATCGGCAGGAAGGAAGGGGGTGAGGGTCTGTCTATATTCTGGGGCCCACTGTCACTTAGGAAGGCGGAGGAAACCTAAGGTGAATGAGTCAGGTCTAAGAAAAAGATACAAAGTGTCCAGCAAGGAGAGGGGTCTGAGGCGCCTGCAAGCACTGGAAGCTATTTTCCCAGGAGCAAGAAACAGCTGCCCCTTATACTTTCTGTCCTAGTTCGCTTTCCGTTGCCCTAATCACCACCACAATTAAAGCAGCTCAGGGAGGAAAGGATGGATTTGGCTTACACAGCCCATGACAGTCCACCCTCAAGGGAAATCAGGGCAGGAAGTCAAACAGGAGCAGAGGCATGCACCATGGAGGAAGGCTACTTTGGTGTGCTCTCGGGTATCTCTCAGACCGCTTTCTACTACAGCTCAGGACTACCTGCCCAGGGCTGGCTCTGCCCACAGTAGACTAGGCCCTTCCATATCAATTATTAATCAAAGTAATGTCCTGCAGACTTGCCTACCAAACAATCTGACAGGGCAATTCCTCAACTGTGGTTCCCTCTTCCCGGGGTGGCTCTACTTTGTAGACAAAAACTAACAGCCACAATATTTGAGAGAATCTACTTAGGAAAGGGCACAGTAATATCATCCTGTGGATGCTGTCTGTGCAAAGAGAAACTGTGCTAGGACTCACGGTCCACTAATTATAAAAACAAAACAGGAGCCTCCCGGGAGCAAATTGTATTAATAGTCGCTTCTCCGTTATTCCCATCTTCCCCGGACTACTAGAGTCCTGTGGAGTGATGGCCACCCCTTTTCAATAAAGTACAGCCTGCATCCTGTTCACCACTGTCTTCCTGCGCCCACTTGAACAACAGATGATTTCACTAGCCAAGCTGGGGTGGCCTTTCTGTGGGAAGGAAGGAGGGGCGCTAAGGTGACCATTGGCAAAGGTTGTGGGAAGGAAGGGGAGAATAGAGACTCCTCAGAGAATACGGGGCTGTGAGTTTGCTACTTGGGCCTGCAGCCTGGTTCTGAAACCCACTCTAGTTTCGTTCTCTGACATCACGAGCAATAAATAGATACAGAGAGGAACTGGCTGACATTTTGTCTCTGGTGCCTAAGGATAGAGTGGAATCCGGCCCCAGGCTCACCCAGCTCTGCTGGGCAAACAGCGGGAACAGCTTCTGCAGGTCAGCGCACACAAGAGCGGGATAAAATGGAAGCAGCTGGCTCAGGTTTTCTCAAGTCGAGAAAAAGCATGGAACTTTATGCTTTTCTTTTCCGCTCACACTGAAGGCATTGTGGGTAGGGATGGGTACACGGATGCAAATTTTTCCTCAGTGCCCTACTTCCTTTTGTCCTTAGCTCAGCAGGCTCTCATTGCCACAGGCCATCTACCTAGTCACCAAGGTTATAGCTATATAAAGCTCACCTAATGTCTAAGCTTGTACTTAATTCCATTGAAAATGTAATTTTTGCGTGTACATATCTTTATGTATAGCAATAAGCAGCGCCTGCTCTTTCAGGACAGAGGAGAGCTCTTTCACCCCTGTGACTTCACCACAGGACAAAGGCCATTTAGACACTTTAAGAGATATTGTTTGGCACTGAGGGCAAATGGAGCCATTCCCCTGGTCACACAGACCTTGAGTAGCCTACAAAGAAATCTTAAACTAAAATAAATGACTCCCATCAATTTTAGATTTTCCTAGCATCCCAGCAGAAGCAGCTTTTGTGAGCAGCGCGGTTTCGCCTTTAGCGGATCTCACCATTGGGAAATCAATCTTGGAAAGAAGCTCACAAAAAAAAAAATGCCGGGCGATGGTGGCGCACGCCTTTAATCCCAGCACTCGGGAGGCAGAGGCAGGCGGATCTCTGTGAGTTTGAGACCAGCCTGGTCTTCAGAGCTAGTTCCAGGACAGGCTCGAGAGCCACAGAGAAACCCTGTCTCGAAAAACAAAAAACAAAAACAAAAAAAAAAAAAGCAACATTGTTCAGTGACTTAGCATTAACTTGAACGTTAAATCTTATTTCTAAGAGTTATGCTAATTGGACTCCTTTCTCCTACGTTTCAGTCTGTATAGACAGAACCCAGCAAAATGTTATTTCAGGTATCCAAGACCCCTAAGAGATACATATTTGAGGCTGGCTGTTGTTTCAGAGACACTTCTCTTGAATCTGCCACCACCCCATTCTTGTGATCTTTTCTGGAACCAAAGAGACAAATGGTTCAACATTCCCCGAAAGGCACCTGCTGGTCAGACCAGCAGTTCTAACGGGGACAGAATGGTGAGGATGGAAGGCCAGAAACAACCCCTTCCCTTTGTGAGACTGGTTGCCTCAAGCAAGCCTTGACACTAGGCACAATGGCCAAGGTCACACAAACACTTAAAAGCCAGGCGTAGTTCAGCTGGAGGCTTGAAAGGGTTCCTTTTGTTATCACAGTAGTAAAGAAATTAATCATAATTATAACTTAATTTGTAGTGTTTAATACACTAGTTCTGACTTTTAGGAACCTACATTAAAATGTGCACGAGCGATGTACTTATCCATGAGAGGACTAGCCATCAGTATACAAGCCAGGGAGGTTAAACACTACATCTGTCAGATACATTCTGGTTTTGTATGTCCCAGGTAATTTTATTTATAGAACAAAATTTTTTCTTTGCCCACATAAAGACAGATTAGCAAGGGTAAATTTTGGCATCCCTATCCCACGTTTTGTTGGGGGCAGTCATTAAAAAATGAACACCGATTTTCATCCATTGAGATGGCTGTTAACTGGAACTTTCTAGGCAGACTCAGTTTCATAGCAATGTATTTGCGCAGAATAGCTGCAAGCCTTTGGGTTTCTGGCCTCAAACAACGCTGAGGGCAAGAGCAGATAAGGAAAAGTAATAACTGTGATTACAGCAATGAGATGCTAGTGTGGAACACGCAATAATTCTGTAAAACCGCCAGGTGGCCACAAACAACTGGGGGGATGTTTTCAAGATACCTGCTGTGGTCTTAGTGCTCAGGCAGGATTCAAAAGCTAGTCTTGTCTGTTTGCTTAAATATGATGGCGTCAATGGGAAAGATGCTGTAGCTGTAGCCGTGACCTTCATGAGTCCACACATGTATTTATGCTATTTATGATCGTGGGCACACATTCACACACACATACATGCCTGGTTCATAGATGGCTGTTCCTGTGCCATCTATGACTCCCCTTTGCCAGTCAACTAGCTGAAGCAGAAGTTGCCCATTCCCTATCTCCTGGTACAGATGTTGGGAAGAATGCCCTGTGATCACCGGCCTTGGAGGTGGGAAATCCATCAGTTTTAAAAGGCAAAACTGACCCGCACACATACCCTGGCTTCTGTTTGTCTGTCACTGTTTGTGAAGGTTTTTTTGAGCGTTTAAGAAAAAGTAAAACTGGGAAGTAGTGGCATTTCCTTCCCTTCTCCGTCTCACAAACTTACTGTCAAACGGAACAGAAAATACACCTTTCTTGACTTTTAACAGTGACTCTTTGGGAAGTTACAATAGATGATGTGGTTTTTTTTTTTTTTTTTTTTTAAACATTTGCCCGCTGGCTGTGGCTGTCACGTACACGTACACATTGCTGCCGAGCGGCCTTCCTTCTTCTTACCTCTATCACTTCCTCGTATTCCTCCTCGTCCGCCATTTTTCCAGAGTAGTAGCGGCACCTACAAACTGCCCGTGTTCCGTACAAATGAAAGTATATTAGCAATTTCTTATAACACCATAAAAGAATTGTAAAACAAGCCAGCCCACACAGTTATATACTTTTGTGGGTTAAGGGGCTTTATAGGCTACCAATGGGAGCCTCAGCCTCCCCCTCCTAACTCCCTCAGTGATAGGCTACCCATACAGAGTTTACTCAGTTTAAGTTTTAAAAGGAAGCGAGGCAGTATGGACCCCAGAGATGGAACTGAAATGGCCAAACATCTAAAAAGAAAATATTTAAGCAATTAGCAATTTTTTTTTTTTTTTTTTGCAAAAGGAGCGTTTAGTGTGGCTTTCAAATAGTTGGAATTTTGCCTCATAAACTCCAAATTCTAGGAAGGGCTAACTTAGTATTCTGCCTCGATCTAGAATGCTGTGTGCAGCATATCTTATATTATTAGAACATGTAGAATAAATCCGCCCATAATTTTAAAAATAAAAGTAGAAACCTCAAGGCAATGGGGTTATTTTCTTCGGAAAATCATTGGTTTCCGTGGATATTTTTTTTCCTTTCTGTAGCTCGTGTGCAAGCCTGAAAAAAAAAAAAAAAACCCGTATTGGTTGAGGTACATGCAATCTTGCCAGTCTCTGGCCTACATTTCTAATTCAGGAACTAGGGAAAGGCTGAAGGCCCTTGGGCCTGACGCCATACAGTGGCCGCTCCATACAAGCTGGGTGATGTCTGCGAGCAGCTGTCCCTCTCCTAGAGACGCTTGACTGTAAACCAATACCCTGGGTGGCTGGTTTTGTTAAGCTAGCGAAACTGCTGGTCCTTCTGAGGCGAACGAAGCTCTGTAGGGTGAGATAAATATAGGAACACAGAGAGCCTTCTTCATCGGAATATATTTAGGACAAAAATGAAAAAGAAAGTTGGTGTTCGATCAACCCGGTCCAGCAATAACTGGTGAGGGCCGAACTGAGTCTGCTAATCCACACGGGCCGCGTCAGAGAGAACTAACAGGGTCTTCCTAGCCATGCCTCATGGCTGTTTTCCCCAGTTAGGTACTCAAAACTTTGGAAAATAATGCAAGGAAAGTCATGGAACAGTCTCAGGAGAACATTCCAGGAGATGACAAAAAAAACGGGCCTTACCTTCGAGCTACGCGAATAACCCTTGGCCAGCAGCAAATCCTCCCCCAGCTCTCCCCTCCTGAGAAGCCCAGGCAAAAGCCACCCGGGTGCCTGCGCTCCCAACTTATCATGTGGCGGGAGCGGCCAATCAGATCTCGCGTTGCTCAAATTTCAGAAGCTAAATATACTGGGTGATGTGCAGACCACCTGTTTGTCAATCCCGCTAAAGGAGAAAGGGTAACAAATTGCTAGCTTAGAACTATCCAAATGCCACGGAATTTTACCTCACCGCCAATCTGCGAGTCAAGTTCAGGCTTAATTCACCATTTTCTGAAGCCGTTGTTCAACGTCCCCACTTGTACAAAATGATTTAGACTAGGAACTAGGAGGGACTTTGAGGCCATGACGCTTCTGTTTCTGGCTTTACACCACCTCATCTTCAGACATCCATAGGATTCCTTCGGACTGCTCACTTCGGAAGGACAGCTCACGCTCTCACCGGTGTGGCTGTGTGAGAAACTGAGGAACACCGTCCAGGAATCATCAGGCTGACAGAAACAAGGCTTTTTTTTTTTTTTTTTTTAATGCAATGCAATAATAGGTGACAATACTTGGTTGTAACCCTAGATGACATATCCCCAAGTGTAATCAGAGTTTGACCTCATTGATTTCCTGGTTCTAAGGCAGGGGGCATGGCCAGTGGTGTTCAATTTCTCCTTCTCCCGGTTGCCCAGCCGCTGGGGTTACCAGGCTTCCCCTCTTCCACGGTAATCGAGTTTCTGCTTTT